AAAAGATGCAGAGTTTAAAATAGCACATTAGGGGTGTGATATCCACACCCCATTTTACTTCTCACACTTTCTTAATTTTCGATTGTTGGATCAGATGAATTGAAGAAGATCAACAAACATAAATTATCAAAGGATGTGTGAGAAGTAAAATGGGGTGTGCGGACCAGTACATTAAAACCTTGTTTAGCAACCAGTATAAGGAATCGGATATGATAAGTTATATAAAGTCGGATGTTTGGTGCAACTATGTACTAAATAGTACCCGTATTTCTTAAACTGGGCCCACATCTTTTCTCTGGTGTATGCCCGCTTATTTATCCTTCCAGAAACCTATGTATTATCTAGTCGGGTCGGTGTCCTCGCTCTATCAACTGGCTTTCTCGCATCGTTCTGCAAACTCACTTTCGTTGCCATCGTCAATCTCAGGTTCTTCTTCCTCCTCCTTTCTTCTTCTTCCTTTTGCACTCCATAGCGGTCGCCTTCCTTTGCAGTTCCTCGTCGCGGGACCCGCACAGGTTCACGTGCCATCGATCCTGGATTTGAACTAGATCCGACTGAAACCCACGTCGTCGGAGCACCGCCTGCATTCACCTACTGCCCAACATTGCCACAGCACCGTTGGAATTGGGTTGACTCCTCATAGAAAGAAATGCGAGAGATCAGGGATCAATCTCACATGCATAGAACATTTGGGAAGAAGTCTCATGCTATTGGGATAGGGTTTATGCTGATTCTGTTGTCCATCCCATTTGGTGTGGTGAATCCTCGGGAATCCTGTGCGGTGGAGAAGATATGGGGAAGAAAGGATATTTTTTATTTTTTATAATTTGATTTAAATAAAGGACAAATAGAAAATGCAATATCAAGATTATTTTTATTTAATTTGATGCATTGTTGTGAATTTTTATCAAAAAAAAAATCCTTTTTTTCATTAGTCATCAAATTTTTTAGTAAAAATAATATAATCCGATCTCTTATCTGATACAGTAACAAACATATTATAAATAATACGGTCATTTGTACGATATTGCACCAAACACCCAATTAATTTAGTTAGTACAGTCCGGTGACAGATTATCATATTCGACTGAAATAGTCAGTACAGTCTGAGCTACCAAACGAGAATAGCCTTTCTTGTAGAGAGATTATATTCACACACCCCAAATTACTTCTCCCACACCCTTTTTATTTTTTAATATTTTCTACACACCACTAACACTTGATAGAAAAATATTAAAAAATTAAAAGGTTGTGGGATAAGTAATTTAAAGTGTGTGAATATAATCTTCTTTCTTGTATCGTAAAAGCATATAACATTTTTTTAATAAATTGTAAACAAATTTACATTGATTTGTATGAATTTACTTCTGGAATATCTGGATCAATGAAGAAAAGCGAAGAAGCAGTGGTGTTCAAGACAATCTTATCTGTGTTAAAAAATTATTGAAAAATTGCTTGTTAAAAAACAGTTTGAATATATTTAGCCAAATTTAAAATCAAATATAAAATTGCATCTATGAAAAGGCTAAATTTGTGTCGGTAATGTCGGTAGCATGTAATAGTTAATTTGGTCAGCGTGGGTATTTGTATATATATATGTGCAGGAGAAAAAAATTAAATGAAGAAAATGATTAATTAGAATTACTAACTACTAATCCAGTTTCACAGTTAGGAATTAGCAATGAAAAAAAAAAGTAGTATACAATTCAAAGGTAAAATAATAATTGTATTAGAAATCAATAGAAAAAAAAAAACAAAAAACAAAAAACAATTGCTGTAAAAACTGTGTTTTGAAAAATGGATTTCCAATTAAAATATGAACACCGATTTGTCACCAAAAAAAAAAGACATTTTGATTTAATATTTACATAATTGTAAAACAAAAATTCAGAATGAGAGAAAATAGTTTAATACCATTATTTAATTCTTAGGTAAACAATTATGAAGTAATTTCATTCAAATATTATTTTATGTTCACCTAATTTTAAAACAAATATTGAGAGTGATACCAAATAGTTTAAAACCATTGTTTAATTCGTGTGTATACATGCAGGAAAAGAGTTGCCAAGCAATTTGAACTAAATGTTAGCATTTATATGAAACACTATTATCTAATTTTAAAACAAATATTCAGAGCGGCACTAAATAGTGTAACACCTTTGTTTAATTGTTGTGTGTACATGCAGGAATAGAGTTGTTAACCTATTTGAACTAAATATCAGCCTTTAGATGAAATGCTGTAAAAAATAGATCAAAAGAAGTGAATTTGTTTGCGTAACATGTTGAGAAAATATTACCAAAGTGCATATTAAATCATTTAAATATAATTTAAAATTTTAATAGTAAATAGATTGGTTTTTAATTAAATCAAATACCTAGTTACAGCTTGACCTTTGAACTTGTAAAATCCATGATAATCGGCGGAGACAATGCTTCAATTGATAAAGAAGCAAAATTTCGAGCAACATCTGCCCATAGTGTAACCGTCAACTCTTCTTTTCTTCAGGAGAACCAAATTCCAATCAAATTTTTAACAGGTGAGTAAAAATTATATAAAGCAATCTATCAGCAAGTGTAATAATTAACAGTGCAAGCACTAAACAATGATTTGATAAAATGGACTCGCTGGATAATATTTAAATATGTTGTAATGCACAGAAAGAAACATGGTAAACAACTTGTCAAGTAAAAAGAAGGGAGGAATAACCTTATGTTTTGAGTCACCACGTCACACCTCGGTTCAATTCGTTGATTAACTTGTTTCGGGTCCAAATGTTGTATAGCAGTTATGCAACCCAAGATATCTTCCAATTTGACAAAGAGTGTAGTTAGATTGTAAAAATACATTGTATAGAGAATGTCAATATTTTTTCAATACATGCACATATGTATTTTTAATAATGAGAAAAGTATATCAAAAAATTAAAACTTTTTTAAGTAGAATTTAGTTTCTTGAATGTAGAAAAATTTAATACCAAGAACTATTCAATATGGGGACAACTAAAAAGAACCAAAAAGAAAGATGATAAAAATAAAAAATATTATCCCCGTTGTTCATCATCCTTGTTGATAAAACAATGGAAGTATAATTTCTTACCCTTTCATCAACCAGTATGCAATGCAGGCTTGAATATGTTGCAATAGTTTTGGGACACCTTGATCTCCATATTCTGGAAACTTGAACCTTTATTTTTTCTGTTTTTATGTACGGTACTAATAACTGCTCAATAGGAGTAGGAGCTATGTTTTCCATCAAGTAGTAAAATTAAACTAAAACTTTATAAATTTAAAAATCACAACAATAAAACATTGTAACAAAGCTCTGAAATAAGGAAGCACAAATTTTTTTCACATGGTTTACTTGATTAGTTTTTGTAAACAGAGTTACCCTTGACTAAATAATATGGGCATAGAAAACTAACATGATAACAGAAGGATATAACAAAAATGATTTACCAAAATATATATAGGACAATCACATATTTATATATCCCTATTACAAAATTCAAGATACAAATAGGGGCAATAAAAATATTGTGTATAACATTCTCTCCAAACAATCCATTGTCAATATTGGTAAGTATCGTTTTTCTACTTGCTATTTATTATATATTTGTTCACATTGTACTATTTTGAAAAACATTTTGCTATTACAAACCAATTTGGTTCATTTTTGACAATTTGATATTTCCAATTCGGTGGATATGCTTTATCAAGAGTTTTGGTCACAGTTTACCATCTATGCACAACCTTCAAATTAGTTAACAAAAAAGAAAACAAACGCTTGTTTAAAACTTGAAAAAACATACAAACTATGGACCTACACACAACTTTCAAATTGGTTTAGCAAAAGGAAAGCTAGGACATTCTTTTAAATTTTCAACCAACTATTTTGTTATCTAAATCTTACCCTGAAGCAGTTTAAAGATTGAAAAGTTGCATAAACTGTTGCAATTCTAACACAAAGAGAACCTGCAAAACAAACAGATGAAAAAAAATAAAAAATAAAAAAACGATGAGTAGCAAAACTCACAGACCATAATACACAAAATTCCTTAAACACAACACGAATTACCATATAAGTCCTCAATCGATGCTTTTTTTTTTTTTAAATCCAGATGAGGTCAATCCATTCTTGTCTTATACTCTTCTATCTTTCCTGGTGAGCTTGATGACATTACTAGGTTCGTAGTGTATTGAAGTGGGGTGATTTCTTAACTGAAGTCTTGAAGTGCAGGAACTGTGGAACTTGCAATGGTTGGCAAGCATGGCAGTGTACCATGTGTAGAGGATTAGGAAGGGTGCAATGCCAAGTGAAGAATTACATCTTGAGAAGGTAGACTTTCCTTCATTTAGATTTTGACCTCTATGTCTAGAAAATAAGGTTTGGGATTTTGGTATGCATATGTGGTTCTTGGTTCTAAGAACAAAAGTTACTTTTGTTTTGAAATTGCAATTTAGTTAGTGACTATGTCTGTGTTTTGTGAATTTGGTTTTAGGACTAAATTTACAGTGTTTTCATTCATTCAAAAGTAGGAAAAAAATGGGACTTTTAGTTGGTTTATATAATATTTTATACAAAGCCTTAAAAATGTCATGTTGATTCATTCAAAAGTAGGAAAAAAAAGGAAAATTTTCCATGAAATTGTCCTGTTTTGGTTCAATGGTTTAGGTAGTATGGACAAAAGTTACATTGATTTTCAAATGGTATGCTTGATTCATTCAAAATGAGAAGAGAATTAACTGTTCAATTCAGTAATTTCTCATTCTGAAAACTTGAAACCTTGGACTGATATGCATTTCTAAGATTTATTTTTATTTTTTTTATATAATATTAAAAGGTGGTTTGGAAATTTTAATGTAATTATAAATGTAACGACCCGTATCGATATTTAAAAATGTAAGGGCAACACGGTAATTTGCATAAGTGAAGATTTTTCTCCCCACCTTTGAACCACTTCTTGGGTGACATTTGGCACCCTTTATTTCTCTCTCTCTCTCGGTGCTCTCCCTCCGACACAACACACAAACACACTTACACACTGGCACACACTACAACCATCAGGACCTTTCCTTTTCTCTCACTCACCCTTTCTCATCCCTCAATATTGTGTAGTCTCCGTGTGGTGAATCCGACGAGATCTCGAACCTTTCGACTAAGGTAAGCACCTTAGACCGCTATAAATTATGCTAGAATGGATAAGGGTGTTTTGAGTAATTTTGGAATGGTTTGGATGCAGAACCCTTGGGGAAAATACATGTCTTAATTTTTTTTCGGCGAGTGACAGTGAGTTTCAGGCCTTTTCCCGGCCGATCTTAACGGCAACGTCACTCCATCTTGGTAAGGCTCGAACCCTTACTCTTTGATCTTCAGTTTGGCTTTCGAGTGAAGGTTTTAGGTTAAGGTTTGACCCCGGATCGGAGCTGGGGAAATATTGCCGGCGAACAACCAAATCCGGTGTTCTTCTTTAATTTTTCCGGCGGCCATAATTTATTTTTGGGCCAATTTGACTCTAGCCCAATTAGGAGCCCACTCTTCTAGCCTTGTAAATTCGAGCCCAGGTCCAAAACCCAATTTCTTGGGCTGTGTGGTCCACCCAAACCCATGCCCATTTCGTAGAAAAAAAGAAGAGAGAGTCTGTTGGGCCAGCCCAACCTTTAAGTCCTATTTAATTTGGACCTAAGCCATTTAATCTTGGTTTAGGCCTCATATTTAAATTGGATTAAGTTCACTTAGCTTTAATTTAGGCTTCATATTTAAACTAGATTAAGTTCAAAAACTTTCTAAAAATATGGGGGTGTTCGTGGTGTTGAGTAGATCACGTTGGTATATTCAAACACCTCAATTGAACAACGTATGAGAAATTATTATATGGTTTTGATTATACGCTTAAATTAACGTTAAATCAATTGTTTCACATATAGGTGAGACGTTCTCGGAGGACGAGCGTAGCCAGGTGAGACTTGGGGGCTACGACTCTGCTACGTACCAGTGAGTGGGCTTTTGGTTTATATATATGTGTGTGTGTTTTAGATTTTCCCAAAAATTGTTTTAAATGGTTTATCTTAAATGCCATGTTAATTGCATTATATTTTAGTATGTGCATTACTATAGCTATGCATATTATTGCATGACGTTGTAGACGCCCAGGTAAGCTTCAGGTGATTATATATTGATGGTAGAGATTGCAGTGTGTATGGTATTGTTTATAGGCATTTATTACTCATTAACCTGCACCTCGGTGTTAGTGCTCCGTCCGAGGCCAAAGCTTAGCCTTCACGTGATAGTTCACTTCCTGCACCGTACGCTAACCTTGGATCCAAGGCAGGTGTCAGCCTGTCGTACATATCACATTAGGTGGTTCCGACTCGTAGGTGATTTGCGATTCATCGCACAATCTTCACGTGATTGTAGTACTTGAGAGCGTATTTATTTACACCTAGCCTATTGTACAGACCACATTAGGCGGTTCCGACTCGTGTGCAAGATTTGGTAGATGAGCTATAGGTTTAGCCGTACAGGTCACGTTAGGTGACTCCAGCTAACATGTCACTTTATATTGATTCATTTCAACTGTCTTACTTATTTCATTGCTAGAATACTTGACATGGCATATACTTGGTTTTCACTACTGTCGAGCATGATTTCTATATACATATGTATAATTATTTTCTGGGAAATTATAAGGGTTTTACAGTGAGAGGTTATTATTTTTGGAAAGAGAAATGATTTTAAAAAAGCTTTGTTTTTGCTCACTCACGTTTTCTATTTTGCGCCCCTCCAGGTTCTAGTTAGAAGTTCGTGTTGGTGGCTCACGAGGATTCTACGATGGTTCTGATAGACATCCATCAATGTAGGGTTCTCTTTCATATCCTGTATAATTAGTATTTAGCCTGCTGGACTGCACATTGATACCTACGCTCTAATTATGTGTATCTACACTCTAACACTTTCACTCATACTTATATACTAGTTTAGTGTAAGTTAGTTTGGTTTTTATTTACCCACATTATCTTATCACCTTCACTTCCGCACGGCGTATATGGTTACGTCACCCTCACGTGATGGCCAGCATGCCTCGATTTAAGTCGGGATGTGTCAGTTTGGTATCAGAGTCTAGGTTTAGCAGTCATTCATATTTTTGGGAGTATTCTAATCATTTTGATGTCTTATGTCAGAACCATGCCGCCTCGAAGAGAACCACGTACTTCCTCCGAATCTAACTTTCCTGATATTGGCCAATTGGGTGAGGCCATTGCTAATGTCATTCAGTCTTCATTGTGCCTTCCCCAGTGGACTCCCCTGGAGACAATTTATAATTTAAAGTTGAATAATTTTGTTGGTACTGAGGAGCCTGAGGAAGCTGAGTGTTGGCTCAATCATGTCGAGAAAACTTATCGAGTGATGCAAAGGCATGAGAATTTCCCTGAGGATAGATGGGTAGAGATGACTACTTGGTTTATAGGTGAGGAGGTTGCATCCTGGTGGAGGAAGGAATCTTTTCAGTTGTCACTAGAAGAAGCCGCAGACTGGGAGGTTTTTAAGCAGCTATTCCAGAAGAGATTTGTACCTCCAGAGTATATAGATCGTAAGAAGCAAGAATTCACGCATCTAAAGCAAGGGAAAATGTCAACTAATGAGTACTATGGAAAGTTCATTGATTTATCTCGGTATTGTCCGGAGATTGCTGAGAATCCTGCTGAGATGCTTCGACAATTCAAGTGGGGTACTCGAAAGAAGTGGCGTTCTATAGCGACCACGATTCCCTGCTCTACATGTCAGGAGTTTTATGAGATTCTACTGCGGGTTGAGGATTCTGAAATGATGCCCAGTGATAGTGAGGAAGAGGAAGAAAAAGATAATAATCAGAAGAAAAACAATAATAAAGATAAAGGTCAGTCATTACAGGGACCTCGTAAAACGCAGAGTTTTAAGAGAAGTGGTATTAGTTCTGGCTCTTCTAGTGGGGGTTCGAGTTCCACGGCACCGTGGAGGGGTGGTCATTCAGGAGGTTCCCGCTTTCAGAGACAGAGGGATTTTAGTGGTTCTGGTGATCCATTCTGCCATAGGTGTAATGGTCAACATTTTAGGGATTGCAGACAGGGCAGCAGAAGATGTTTTGTTTGTGGTCGGACGGGACATCGGGCTGTTCAATGCCCACAGAACCAACAGAAATCCCAGCCACCTGCCTTACCACCAGCAGTTCCACTTCAGCAGGTCCCAGGGCCTAGTGCTTATACCTCGACGAGTTATGGGGGTGCATATCATTATCAGGGAGATATAGCTCCATATTTTGGAGGACAATATCAGTACCCACACGATCTGTATCATCAGAGTGGTTATGCTCAGTATCCAGGAGGTTACACACCATATCCACCATATTTAGGTGGTGGATCACAGTGGTATCCTGGATGGCAGTCCCAGAACGTTGAGGTTGCTTCTAGCAGTGCAGGATCATCGAGGCAGCCTAATCAGCCTTGTCAGGGACGTGGAAATCAGACTAATGGAGGTCGCAGAGGACGACAACAGCCACATGGCCATGTTCACCACATTACTCTGCAGGATGCGTGGAGTAATCCTGACCTTATCATGAGTACGTTGAATATTCTTGGCCACTTTGCTAGAGTATTAATTGATTCTGGTGCCACACACTCTGTTATTTCTCATATGTTTGCTCAAACAACGCAACCTTACCCCACACCTCTCGGCTATGAATTAGAGTTTTCGATGCCTAGAGGTAAAACATGCTATGTTAGCTGGGTATATCAAGGATGTCCTATTTTGGTGGAGGACATCGTTATGCCAGCTAATCTTATTCCATTAGATATTGTTGACCTCAATGTTATTCTAGGCATGGATTGGTTATACTACAATCGTGCCAAGATTGATTGTTATGAGAAGACATTATCTCTGCGAAGATGGATTGCTAGATATTTTTTCCGGCGGGCCATAATTTATTTTTGGGCCAATTTGACTCTAGCCCAATTAGGAGCCCACTCTTCTAGCCTTGTAAATTCCAGCCCAGGTCCAAAATCCATTTTCTTAGGCTATGTGGTCAGCCCAAACCCAAACCCATTTCGTGGGAAAAAAAAAAGCAAAAAAAAAGAAAAGAAAAGCGAAGAGAGTATGTTGGGCGAGCCCAACCTTTAAGTCCTATTTAATTTGGACCTAAGCCATTTAGTTTTGGTTTAGGCTTCATATTTAAATTAGATTAAGTTCACTTAGTTTTAATTTAGGCTTCATATTTAAACTAGATTAATTCCAAAAACTTTCTAAAAATATGGGGGTGTTCGTGGTGTTGAGTAGATCACGTTGGTATATTTAAACACCCCAATTGAGAAACGTATGAGAAGTTATTATAAGGTTTTGATTATCTACTTAAATTAACGTTAAATCAGTGGTTTCACATATAGGCGAGATGTTCCAAGAGGACAAGCGTAGCGAGGCGAGACTTGGGGGCTATGACCCTGCTACATACCAGTGAGTGGGCTTTTGGTTTTTATATATGTGTGTGTGTGTGTGTGTGTGTGTGTGTGTGTGTGTGTGTGTGTTTACGATCTTAAATGTCATGTCAATTGCAGTACATTTTAGTATGTGCATTACTATAGCTATGCATATTATCGCATGACGCTGTGGACGCCCAGGTAAGCTTTAGGTGAGTATATATTGATGGTAGTTATTGCAGTGTGTATGGTATTGTTTAGAGGCATTTAGTACTCATTATCCTGCATCCCGGTATTAGTGCTCCACCCGAGGCCAGGCTTAGCCTTCACGTGATCGTTCACCTCCCGCACCGTACGCTCACCTTGGATCCAATGCAGGTGCCAGCCTATCGTACATATCACATTAGGTGGTTCCGACTAGTGGGTGACTTGCGATTCATCGCACAACCTTCACGTGATCATAGTACTTAAGCGTATTTATTTACACTCAGCCTATCGTACAGACCACATTAGGTGATTCTGACTCGTGTGCAGGATTTAGTAGATGACCTATAGGTTTAGCCGTACAGGTCACGTTAGGTAACTCCAGCTGACATATCACTTTATATTGATTTATTTCACTTGGCTTACTTATTTCATTGCTGGAATACTTGGCATATACTTGGTTTTCACTACTCTTGAGCATGATTTCTATATACATATGTATTATTACTTTCTGGGAAATTATACGAGTTTTACGGTGAGAGGTTATTATTTTTGGAAAAAGAAATGATTTTAAAAAGCTTTGTTTTTGCCCACTCATGTTTTCTGTTTTGCGCCCCTCCAGGTTCTAGTTAGAAGTTCGTGTTGGTGGCTCACGAGGATTCTACGACGGTTATGACAGACATCCATCAATGTAGGGTTCTCTTTCATATCCTGTATAAGTAGTATTTAGCTTGCTGGACTGCACTTTGGTACCTATGCTCTAATTATGTGTATCTACATTCTAATACTTCCACTCGTACTTATATACTAATCTAGTGTAAGTTAGTTTGGTTTTTATTTAGCTACATTATCTTAACACCTTCATTTCCTCACGGCACACATGACTACGTCACCCTTACTTGACGGCTAGCATGCCTCGATTTAGGTCAGGGTGTGTCAATAAAAGTATGCGTCTTTGATTCCATAAAAATTGCTGTTTATATATGTGAATTCAAGAGGGGAGCATTTGTATGTGGATGTAATACAGAGAGGGTGGCTTGGCTTTGAGAACGTTTGGCTATCTGTTTTATATTGATACATTTCATCTGAAGTCTAAAGTCCTATAAAAATTAATTTGAGATCTCTGACTTTCTACGATGGATTAGGTGATGTTGAAAACTTCTAAGCGTAAATTTAATTCTGAATTTAGTGATATTGTGACGTAAGAGATGTGAGATGTTAAAAAATGACGATATGCGTTGATACATAATAATTTAGTTCCTGAGAAAGTAATGTTGAATTTACTCTTACTATATAATCTAATCTTAATTTGTCTTCAATTTCTTTTAGAAATAAGAATTTCGATTTTTATACTGAGGTAAAAGTCTCAGCCCTTCTGACATAGTAGTAGGGGTGGTATTGGTACGATTACCGTACCAAAACCTATGTACCAGTTACCATGCCAAAGTTCTGGTATAATAAAATCTATTACCATTACCGTGCGAAACTTTTGGTATACCGAATTTTGGCATGCCAAATAGTTCGGTTGGCATAGTATGATAATAGTAATTACCATTTTGTTTTGGACCATTCTTTTGGGCCAAATTTTTTTCTTTTTCCAACCCAATTCAAGGCCCAAATGTGTTTTGGCCACTCTCTTTGGCTTTCTAAAACTGTTTTTATTTAATTATGAGAATTTCATAAAGATTCATTTAAGAAACAAAAAGTAAATATATGGAATAATTGTTGAAAGAACCCAACATCCCTAAAAAAATAGTACAGAGATTCCTAAATTCCATCTCTACATTCTTTAAAATTGTACAAAAATTAACTTGATAGACGAAGCTAAGGAGAAAAACATTCTTTAAAATTGTACAAAAATTAACTTGATAGACGAAGCCAATGAGAAAAACATCCCAATTTGATGAAGGAGAAGATGAGATGGACTACGAAGAGAGAGAGAGAGTTGCTGGAATGGGAGCAATAGATATGAAGTCGATGGCTAGATGAGTGAAAAGATGAAGAGTCGTAGCGCAAGAATGCTTAGGTTTTTTTATTGGGAAAGTAGAGGTTAGAGGGTGAGAGGATTGAATAAATGACTAGGAAAAAAAATATATAAAGTGCATATATATTGATAATAATACCTAATTATATATATAAATGATATAATATTAAGAGTAACGGTCCGGTACGGTATACCACTGGTAATTGTTTTGAATACTATTATCGTACCAAAAATGTATGGTACGGTACAAATACTGCACCATTACCAATGATACAAATTTTTTGGCACAACTTCAGTATGATATGGTTGGTAATTCAGTTGGTATGGTAATTTGGCAAAAAATTTACCCCTACATATTAGTATGTATCTGATCATTTATTTTTAAGTACAATTGTCTTATCTTAAAGTGCCAATTGCTGAAATATAGGAATCCAATCCATTTTTAAAACTATTGAGAAGCATGCTAAAAGACAATTTGGTTCTTCGGTCCACCATCTTCTAGGATATTATTCTACATATATGTTGATAGGATTTTGAACGTGTATGCAAATAGGGTCAAAATCACATGAAATACTTACAAAAATACAAGGATGTTATAATATAGATGTTCATGCAAAGTCGTTCTTCTCAAATATTATTTGGACAATTTATGTAGAAACAATTACTAATTAAATACTTAGAGTTAAAAATTGATAAAAGAGATTCTGAATTTGGGTAATATTAAAAACGAATTTTAATTAAAAACTAATATGACAAAAGAAAAGAGTTTTAAATACCAATTTATAAAAGACTAGGGTTCCACTATCACCTAGCAATCCTATGTATTTTTACCAATTACTTATGATCTACACATGCCACTTTGAAGGTTAGGTTTTCCTAATTTATATTCTACTTGGAACCTCCAACATAGAATGTATATTTAACATGCAACCCGTCCGGACGTTCGGATCAAATCTGAACATAAAAAACTCATTACACTTTATGAAAACCCTTTGAAAAACCATGCAACCCTTAAGACGTGGTGTTCATTCTAAGTGAAACTACAATTATTAATCATAAGAAGCCAGCGTCAATTTTAGGGAACCTTCCGACCAAAATTGCATCAAATCACTTTTCTAAAGATCCTAATGGGATCAGGCATTAAGACAATTAGATAGTTTTATCACGGTGATCAATAATTCAAAGTATGTATGCAATCAATCATAAGCAATTAAATAAAAATCACATATTTATGCTAAGGCTCAAGGCTTCGCCCTAGCAAAACGGATTAGTTATGCATATTCATAATTGAAATCATATAAAATATTATTAGAATGAACAAGAATGAAAACACCTTGAATTAGAAAATCTAAAAGCCTTTGAAAACCCCAGCAAGTTCTCTGTCTCCAAAGTTAAGCAAAAGTAAGCGTCATCCTCAAACTGAGGCCAACTAAAACCTTAAATATCTCCCTAAAAGCCAGCGGCACAAACCCTAAAATTGTAGTCTCTTGTTCCAATTAGAAAACTAAATAATAATAAAATAGAAAATAAAATCATAATTAAGCTAGGAGAATCTGCCAAGTACTTGTCTAGCCACATTCTAGCCTTAGATATCCTCCAAATCCGGCCCATGGTCGCTTGTTTTGAAGATCATGACGTTTTGAACACATCTCTAGATAGCCACGAACCCATCCGAGGTTATCTTGGGCTCAAAAAATGCAATTCAAGCACAAAACGTCACTATTTCAGCACTGCGCATCACTCCTTTATTTTATTGCCAGAAAATAAACGCTTGGTGGAAAAATTTGATATTTTGATACAATCAAGCCAAGTGACTCACAAACGTCCTCCAACTGTAATTACTCCAAAATTCGTCTATTTGACCACGTTTTGCTCCGGATGAAGTCGAAAGTCTTATATTAGAAATACAATTCAAAGTATCAAAATTCTTCCAAAATATTAACCAAAATATACTAAGAATATGGTTAAATATATAATATAAAATCTACTTATCAATTCTTTTGATCACTGTATATGTTGCTAATTTACCTTTTCAAACAACGTACATGTAAACATTGATATATAAAACTTATTTATATGTTAAAAGTATTGTCTTAAATGTTATTCTTAAAACCCACAGCAAAGCGCGGGTATTCATGCTTGTATGATCTAATCACCCAAAATTATATATATATTAAACGCCTAACTTTCTAGTTAATTCCCTTTGTATCCTTTTCACTGTTCTTTTGCCAGTATATTTCCGTCTTACCCTTTTTTTTTTTTTTTTCTGTGGACACTATTTATTCTACAGTGTACTCCCACTTTTGCATCTGCTTCTTTCTTTCATTCCACTTCTGCCTAGATGGCTTCAGAAACAGTGCTCTTCCGATTTTGTCCTCACACATTTTTCTTTTATTTCACCTTTGCCCCTATTGCTTTGCTGTCAAATTACTATCTACTAAAACGATCTGCCTTTTCTATCAACCAGACACGTGTTTCCTAACAACTTTAATCATTTCTTTTGTGCTTATTAGACATCGTTTGGTACGTAGATAGGACTAGGACGGGACGAGACAATATGGAACGGAATGGAGAGCGAGCAATGATGTCTTCGGATGGAAATAAGAAGGAAGAAAAAGGAGATGAAGAAGTTATAATTTTGTGTTCCAGTAGAACGAGTCGTTTCAGGAGGTTAGATGAAACGAAAATTCATCCAAAATTCATTCGTGAAACAACCGTTTCACCCGTTTTAAGCACATCAAACGTGAGACGAAACTCCTCGTCCTCCCCTGTTCCGTCCGTCCGACGTATCAAACGGTACCTCACCTTACCATCATCCGTCTGCTTCCAATTGCTTCCTTCTGAAACCTCACATTTTCTGCTTTGCTTCCATTTGTCAGGATTTCTATTTGCTTCCAGTTGCTTCCGTTTGCTTTCATTTGCTTCATCTCTCCTGAAATGAAAAAAAAAAACCTGCGTTCATCCAACCCTAGAATCCCGAAACCAAAATTCATCCAGATCATTCCAATCTCCAACGGAAAATCGAAATATCCAGTCGATTGATTCTCTCTTTAAAATACCCACTCATCGTTGCCTTATCTCTGATGATTCAATTGGCTGACGACGACTTCTAGGATTCTAGCTCGACTTCTCTTTCAAAACTCAGCTCGAGTCCTCGGGTATTTGTTTTTGGGTGCCGTTTGCTCTGCAGATACAACTTATGTTTAAATTTTGGTTTTTTATTTTTTATTTTTATAATTTCGGCTGTTTTGTTTATGTGTTCAGATGCCCGATTTCCGACAAGGCGATTTCGGCTAATGACCAGAGAACTAGACCTCGCTACTATCGGATTCCTGAGTAAATTTGGTTTTCGTTTGTTTGGGGATTTTGTTTCCAGTATCCGTTTTTCGACTGGTTATTCATCTCTGTAAAGCTAGATTTGTAAACGTTTTTTCTGTTGTTTTGCAAGGAACCAGAGCCTTTCCATGCTCGAGCTCCACAGGTATGGCACCGCTCTTTTACATGGTTTTGCTTTGATTCCAGTTTTTTTCCAAGTTTTTTTTCCAAGGCTGACGTGCCGATTCTCTGCGAGGATTGCAATGGGAGAGGGTGGCTGCTCTGTGATTTTTGCAAAGGGCAGAAAATGAATGTGAAATCTGAGACCAATCGAATCTACGGCCGATGCCCATCTTGCAGAACTGTGAGTTTTGAACTCCTCCTCACAATAGAAAGCCCAATAACTTCTTGCTTCAGAGGTTTGATTTTTATGGACATTAAATGTTCATGGTTATTAAACTATTTTATTTATTTTAACAAAATTGCAGACAGTATACTTCTTCCAGTAGAATATGATTTTGCACCTGAGATCAAATATGATACCATTCACTCAAATGCACACCACTGACTAATTCTATAAATATGTGTTATCAAATGGTTTGCATGATAGCTATCATTCTAATGTGACTTATACGTTGTCGGATACATGTAGAATATTGCAATTCGAATAAGAAATCGTATTTGATTAAAAAAAAAAAAGAACTTAGATATTAGTCCGAAAATATCTATATTTCAATCTATATGACTACTGCTTTCTAAAATGTACTTGGTTTGCTAGGTTAGTGGGTATCACAAGGCACTAAATCGCTTTTCTGTTCTTGGGGTGCAGGGAAAACGGAGGAAGAGAGAGAATAAAATTCTGTATTTATCAGGGACTTTGTACATATTCCATGCATTTTTGCAACTGGAATCATTTGGTAAGTACTTAACCTTTTAATCAAAGCCTGCATATGCCAAGGTTTTGTAATTAGCATCAAATAAGATAGTTGCTTTTTTCTTTTAATGGCTCTATTAGTTGTGCAGTTATAAACAGTAGTGTGTTTGAAATAACTTTTGCAGTATGGTTATATATCGTGGCACATATGGTGGTGTTGTTTCCTTTTCACAATTGTGCAGGGAAACAATAGGAGCTTCAAAAAATTTCATCAATTTGTTTATACTAAATCCGTTATTCTGATTTCATTTTGAATTCACTGGGAAAAATACATAAATCCATAAGACGGGAGGAAAAGGTTGTGATTCAGTACCATAAGATGTGATTAATAACAATTTTTTTTATGAAACCCCAATTGAATCTAAAGTGAGCAGCTTTACACACACACCCTGAATTTATGCATGAAGGATGAAGTTTTATATTGTGAATCCATGATTTGTTTTTCTCAGTTTGTTGTTCCTCATGACAGGAAGAGCTTGCTGAAAAATGGCTCCGTCTTTGTTTTCAGAATTGAGGTATGCATGTATTCATGTTCTTCTTTACCTTTTCTTCGTTTCTATTTTTTTAGTAGAACAATGATTTCTCCTAAAGAATTTATAGCCATGGCAGCGGGTCACTTGCAATATAAGATGAAAAATACTGATTGAGAGATGGTTTTACATTTTTGTGGTCAAATTTTTGTTAGAAACTGCTGTCTGAGATTACTGTTAGATGAACATTTGTTTTCTTATGATTTCTAGGCTTTTAGATTAAAAATACTAGCTTCAATACCTCAAATTTTCGGGGGTTTTCCATATAGATGAAACATCCATCGTGATAAAGATCCAAGTAGATTCAACTTAAGGGTATTTAATTTTTTTATATTTTTTGTATTAACATATACTATCCAAATAAAAAAACAACGCATGGTAACTAGTCCTGGCATTTTAGACCCGACCCGTTAATATTAGTATTTGGATTGATGCTTAACGGGTCGGGTTGCTAACGGGTTAACCCGTTAAATAACGGATCATTTTGGATCAACCCGTTAGACCCGTTAACACCCCTTAGTTGAGGATGTTTTAGTAATTTCAGTAAAGTCTTAACAACAAATATAAACTCTATGCAAAAAAAAAAATAATAATAATAATTGTTAACGGGTGACCCGTTAGCTCAACGGGTCATGTTCGGGTGACTTGTTAGCTTAACAGGTTAGGTTCGGATGATCCGTTAACTTAACGGGTCGGGTTCAATCCGATCCAAACCCAATAAACCCGACCTGTTTACAGGTCTAATGGTAACATTACTTCAGTTGTCATCATTAATCAATATCAAATTGTAGTATTATTTTCTTCATATAAAAAAAGATAGATTTACCTCTGTTATATATTCCACTTAACATTTCTTTTAAAAAAGAAAATTTATATTCATTTTAGATGAAGATTTTGTAAGAAAGCAGTAATTTTTGACAAATTTTTTCCATTGCTTGGTGATGAATGAAATTAGAACTGACTCAAGCATGGCTTCTTTCTTAGCCATGACTGTTGAGAGGGAGAACGTGTGTTTCAGTTACGAGATCCAAATTCCCATACTGCACTTTCAATGTTGATTGCACATTCTTCATTTATAGTCGCTACTCCTACTTTGTTTCCAAACGTCCATGCTGCTGTTTATTTAATTTTCTCACTTTTGCTTCTTGCAGTGAATGTTTCTTCATTGCCGATGCCCCATTCTTCATTGTTGGCAAAATTATAATTTGGCATATACTTTAACAGTTTAACTTATTTATGAACTTCCAAAATTCAATACGTATCATCGAATTGCACATGATTTACACTTTTAGCTATATCTATTAGTACTGAGTGAAGTACAACTGCCAATAGAGAACAATGTGAAAAGTTTGGACATGGAAAACCAAGATATTTTTTGTGTGTAATATATTCTGCACACATCTTTTTTACTTTATTGAACATAAGGATGTAAATAGATTTGGATCTAAATGTAAATAGATTTTAATATATTCCGCATGTTAAACACAATTTCAAAACCCGCAACATTGCCCGGGCTGAATTGCTAGTATGATCTAATCACCCAAAGCCGAAGGACTTGGATTGTCTGCCCTTCATTTCGGTGCCCTTCTCGTGCCCTCCTGTTTGTGTGGTCACGGTTAAACCACGTCAACATTTTATATTACTATTTCTTTTTGTTTTATTATTTTTATAAAAAAATAATATGAAATGTTGACGTGGCTTAACCGTGACCACACAAAACAGAAGGGCACGAGAAAGGCATCGAAATGGAAGGGCAGACAATTCAAGTCCAAACGTTCATAACAAAGAAGTTGTACGGTCATAATTCTTGTCTTTTCATATTGATCAATTTCAATTTATTATAGAAAATCTTTGGTCGACAGAAACAAAGATCCATTTGCTGGCGAAACGCCATCTGTACACATACTCAACCAACCGCAGATTATTCCATTTTATCATCTTACCCAACAAGTCACAGCATTGACTTCCTTTTCTTCCATAAAAAAACCCCAAAACCCAAATACAAAACAAAACAAAATATCTCCGGCGACTCCGATGGACTCTAAACCCTCCAGCAGCGAAGTATCATTCGAGTTCCCGACCCTCTTCCGAATCTATAACGACGGCCGAACCGAGAGACTCAAGGGCACCGAAACCGTCCCACCCTCCACCGACCCGACAACCGGGGTCCAATCCAAAGACATCGTCCTCTCGCCACAATCCGGGCTCTCTGCCCGCGTCTTCCTCCCCAAGCTCCCCGACCCGACCCGCAAACTCCCTCTCCTTATTTTCATCCACGGCGGCGCTTTCGTCATCGAGTCCCCCTACTCTCCTCTCTACCACAACCACGTCTCCTTACTGGCTTCCGAAGCAAACGTCGTGGCTTTGTCGGTGCACTACAGGCGGGCGCCGGAGCACCCACTCCCCGTTGCTTTTGAAGACTCCTGGGATGCAGTCCAATGGGCCGCGGCCCATTCCAATCGTAACGGGCCTGAGGCCTGGCTCAACGATCACGTTGACTTTGACCGTGTTTTTATAGGCGGCGACAGCGCTGGTGCCACTCTGACGCATCACGTGGTGCGCCAGGCCGGGCTCGACGGTTTGAGTGGCACAAGGATAGTGGGGATGATTTTGTTTCACCCCTTTTTCGTGAATGACGAGCCCGGTAAGTTGTTGGAGGTTATCTATCCGACATGTGGCGGGTCGGATGACCCGAGGATGTGGCCGGGTAAGGATCCGAAATTGGGGGAGATTGGGTGCGGGAGGGTGTTGGTTTTTGTGGCTGAGAAGGATTTCTTGAGGGACAGGGGCTGGGCATACTACGAGGCATTGAAGAAGAGTGGGTATGGTGGGGTGGTTGAGATTGTGGAGAGTGAAGGGGAGGGCCACGTCTTCCATTTGTTCAACCCAAGTTGTGACAAAGCTGTGGACTTGGTGAGAAAGGTGGTTTTTTTCATAAATCAAGACTAATCTACGGCCCAAGTGTGAAGATATGGGATCTTATGGTGACAAAGACAGTCAGATGTAATTTTTTTGTGTTACAACAAGAATTATCCATGGTATGATAAATTATAGATATACAAGCATATATTATCCTCATATGCGATGTCTAATCACACAGCAACCGTCAGATGATGTAACTTTTTCGTGTTATAATAAGCATCATCCGTTGTATTATAGACTATAGGGATACAAGCATATATTATCTTCATCAAAATCAAGTTTAATTGTAATCGTGGTGTAATATCCACATATCATATTTTACTTTTCACACTCATTTTTAATTTATATTGAATGACACCATCTCAATTTTTAAACTATTTCAACATCATTTGCTGCCATTGCATGTACCCATAAGATCATGGGTAAACGATACAAATCCATTGCAGCTTACCCAAAAACAAAGGGCATTACTCCTCTTTTATACAAATGAGCAAGTGTCCGGTGATATCCCTGATGGTTTATTTAAGGCATTTATCCAATAAGCATGCATATACATAAGAACCTACTATTAAGATACCTGGTTTCCTTAGAACAGTAACTCTTCAAAGACAATCAACTTATGTTCAACAGTACTTCTGCCCGTTCAATACAGAACGCATCCCCGGGGATCTCCTTTCCCATTAAATCAAACAAGGAAGTCAATGGAACAGTTGAGGTAATAGGAAAAAATGGGTTTCGGCTGACCAAGATTGATACAGTCTGCTATAATTTCACGTGTCTCGTGTACTTGACTACAACTCTCCAAGCATGTTCCTGAAGATGATAAGACAATTTTATAGGTTAACAAAAAATTTAACAAAAAATTTAAAGCAAAACACAAAACAAAACTCCATGTACATTGGATCTCATGCTTTAGCCATCACTTGCAAAAACAAAACTATGTTGGAATCATGACATGTTTGGCAATTCAAAGCAATAACTGTAGTTCTAATAGAATTGTTAATGCTAATGATAACCATGAAGATGATAAGACTAAAAAGTCTCTAAACTTTAGTTTCTCCCATGGCCCTGATGTCTAATCTCTCAAAATCAAAATTAAGTGCACATAAAGTAAATGGGTAGTGATAATTTCTCATTTCACAAAATTCAGCTAAATAAACCACCACAACCACATGATCATAAAGAGTCTTAAAACAAGGAATAGGTTAGAGACCAAACTCAAAGCATCTTTTGTGGTTCCCAAAATGCACACATTAATCATATAAGCATGACCACCACCATGGCCACCTTGGCCCAAACTCCTGGTGCTGGCACCAAGCCCATCCCCATCAGCTCTGGCCTCACCAAAGGCCTACACCCATGAGCTGGCACTGGCGTTGGCTAATGAGGTAAGGACCAGGACTTGAATGTTTTTTCAATTTTTAAGTAACTTTCCCTTAGGGTAAAAGTTGTAACAAATTTTCACAAAAGATCGGTGTAATGAGTAATTATTACAGTGCAAACAGAAGCTCCTTCGATAGACAATGTATCAACTGTATGCGCACATGCATGCAGAAATAGAAAGTAAAAAATCATAACATACAGCTGCCCCCTACCTAATCCTGTGAGAAGCCTGAGTGATAAACGCCTGCGGACAAACTCCCACTTCAAATCTACTACATTTTTCACTAACCCAGATTCCATAACTTCCAAAGTAAGACAATGCCAACACCTCATTTTGTTGCAAATGCATGTTACATCAACGACCTCACAACTTTTTAAATCCAATAGAAAATCCCTCTTACTAAAAGTATCAGGACAATCACACTCACTTTTTCCTTGCAACTGCTTTGAAGGACCAAGTTGGGTGATGCCATTGCCACTTATGCTTTGGTTCTGAGGAGATCAATATCTAGACCGAGTTGACCTCAAATTGTACTCAGGTACTGACACTCGATCCTTCACCATGGGTTTTGGTGCATTTTTAGTCTTTTTAAACTTTTCAGCATCCATCTTGCCTTTCATCCCCTCCTTGATGATTTTCCTAATTTCCTGCTGTTTTTCTTCAGAATGAGTAAGTATACAACAAGCTCCAAAGTCTTTAAGACTAGCTTTTCCAAGCATTGTCCAATCATCACGCTCTTCTTCAGGACAATTAACAGAATTTTCCACTCAGAAAGATTTAGTTTGGCAATGGCTGATTTATACAGGTTTTCAGCATGAGATAACTTATCTGAAGATGTACTTCCTTGTATTTTCAAAAATACAGGATTAACAGTTGCTTCCAGCATCAATCTGCACTTCCAACAAGAAATATCAGAGCTGCTATCCCCAAAATATTCCTTGGCACTTTGAAGTTCCTTTTGTGCCAAATCCCAATGCTGCTGCTTATGGTACAGCTTTCCTAAAGACACACAAAATTAAACTGTAAATTAGCCAGGTATTACAATCTAATTCTTTTGAAACCAGCGGTGAATGTAGAAATAATTGTGATACATGAACAACAAAAGAAGAGAAGTTGTTATACCCAAGACAGTAGAAAAAACATTGGTAAATAGTGGTAAGCTTTGTGAGAAGTTGTGAGCTTCTTTGGCATATGAGAGAGCCTGTAGGATATGAACAGAAATGAAAACAAAATCATCATGCAGGAATTCCCTTTAAGCCTAAAAGCATCTCAATATCTAGTAATTAACAATAAAAATACTTAATTAACAATTAACAAAACAAAATAAATAAAGTGAAATAAACCAATGCAAATTACCTCAATTAACCGTCCATTTGAAACAAGTCTTTCAGATAAATCATAGTAGAGATATCCAGCTACGTAAGCAGACCAAGTAGATACAGGAGCCTATAAGAAGAGTAACAAAAGTAATGTATTTATTTTGCGTCATTAAGGCATTAGAGTTCATTGTGGCAACTTGAGAGGAACTTACTTGTGAAATAAGTTCAAAAGCAGCTTGCTTGACCTCAGTATCTGATCGAAACAAGCTTTCATGATTGCATGGGCCCCGAGAAAAGTTTGGAAACAGAAATGAGAAGCTATGTTGGAACGCTAAAAGCAATTGTTTGGAATCTTTTAGACAATCTATCCAAAAAGAAATAGACTTTGAAAGTTCACCACAATGATCCGATATGTTCATGATGAATGTCTCATTTACAGGTGAAGCACAAAGGGCATGGCTAATCCTTCTACATTCCCAAAATCTGAGGACGCACTTCTCTAATGGGACATTACTCCATTTAAATAATCTAATCATAAGCCTATGTATATCACTGTGAAAGTCCGTGCAACCCTGAAGATAAAAAAGAAAAGAAAGCAATGTCATTTTAAAAATAATATCATGTCAAAAAGAATAATATTTTCAGGTGGAACGTACAGCACCCAACAATATCAAAAGACAAACCTTGATGGATAACAGATCAATAACATTGTACAGTAGCAATATGGTATTTTCAGACAACATGGACCACTTGTCAGCAGGAGAGCAATTATCTGGAGTAGAAATGCCCAACCATAGATTAATGGCAGCACTGATATCTTCAAGCACTCGCTGCTCATGAGTCTAACAAACACAAATCAAATAGTTGGACAAAATTGTAAAAATGACACTTGAACATATAGAAATAGCATATGAAGCTTTTTAGCATTAACTCAAACTTGGGAAACAACTTTCGTGAATTAGCACCTTTGAGTTGGGTTCAGTTTCCTGGGTAGAAAGCGCATGTAAGCAATATGCCACAGCTAATTGATGGCAAGGAGAAGTGCACGTAAACAACTGCATCCCTATCCTATAAGATTGAAATAAAAAAAGTTTACTGTACAAAGTGATATTACAGGAACAAAAAGAAACATTAAAAAATAACAGAAAATTTCCTTGAATCTGGTTTAATTAGGACAAAAGTGAAACATATTTAAACAAAGCAAGAGCCTAGATGTATATAAAGCTAACTTCTAAAGATAAAAAGTTCAGTAAATGAGAGATAAAGCAGTGCCTTGTCTGCAACTCTATCCAGTTCAAATGAAAGTACAGATGCAGATAATCAACCAGAAGCTTGAAATATAGTATAGAGTGATCCTATATTTCTATCACATCTGTTGTAAATTGATTAAATCCTTCTAGCTTCCTATATTTCTACTACCTATAATTACCAAACACAATGTAAAAGAAAAAAAAAAGACAAACTATCTAACATGGGGCCTCAAACCACGCCGCGGGAATCATTTTTGGAACTAAAAACAAATTAGTTCTGATGAAATATAGAAGCAAACTAAACTACTAAAGGTAAATGTATAAAATGGTTGTAGAAAATACAACTTCAAACTAGAAATGGTTCAATGTTTAGAATGGATGTGTGGCAAGAATTTATTCAGGAGAGCACTTACAGAGCCTAGTACAATAAAGAAAACAAGTAGAATATAATAGAACCCAACATTACTTTAGACTAAAAATAATGCTTCTCATATTACATCATATGCCATCCAGTCATAGATATATCATTATGTAAAAGAATACCTCTTTTAGCTCCTTCTTTCGGTACAAATGTATCCCGGTATTGTACAGAGAGACATATAGATACTTTAGACCATGAGGTTGAATCCAAGCCCTGGTGATGATATTTTCAAGTATTTGCACACTCTTCTGAAATAAGAAAAAGGCAAGCAAATTACCTAGTTTGGGCATATAAAGATTGTGCTGTACAAGAGTCATAAGAAATAAATATTTCACTTATGAAAAAACAAATAACTTGGACCATTTCAGTATTATATCAAAAGAAAGACAACCTGCATGTTCAGCTTTGTTATGATGGCAAGGGTAAAAGCAGCCAGAGCAACATCAAGGGTGCTGTTTCCATCAAAACCATCTCTATCCACCTCATATGTACATCTGCACCTAGGCACAAACATAATTCAGATACATCCTATAACATCAACTGGATGTGATCTTGTGAGATAGTATTTAGAGAAAAGACTGAAGAAATTGTGGATTAAGAAGACCAAGCAACTTCAGTCACAAGTACAAAATACTCAAAGAAATGAAAACACTGAAGCTTATCGTTGACTCACATTTGCAGAGAAAGAAAACAAAACTGATGGAATGCACCCTGGATATGGCACAATTCAATAGAAACAGAAGCAGCTTCATTATTTGTAATAATCTGTTTCCTTCCTGAATTTACTAACTCTGTAAGCGGCTGGCATAAGAATTTCAATGCATTAAAATAAGACAGAAGATAGTTCTTTCTGTCCTTCATTTAAATCAATGATTCCCCATTGTCCGAACTCAACTACGAATTGGATAACAAAGGGTCGTCAATGCAGCCAAATTGGAAAAACTTCTCCATTAACCAAGCAAATCGGACAAACGATTCATTGCGTCCCCATCATCAAACAAAAGTCTAACTGCACCTTCAAATGATTGAAGATGACTAATTTTTGACTTCATACTGCGATCAACAAAGTGCAATCCAGTGGCATATGATGAAATTGAGGTTCCACCATAAAACCAATTGGCAATATGGGGAGTAGCCCAAGACCATATAAGCACATAGCAAACCTTGTCCCTCACCAATGTGGGACAACTCTCAACACGCCCCCGCACGTGTGGCGGATTTTCAAGCTTACACGTGAACAACAACTGGGTGACGTGGAGCGCGTGTGGCCGTTGGGCTTCACACATGGACAACCTTGCTCTGATACCATGATGAAATTGAGGTTCCACCATAAAACCAATTGGCAATATGGGGAGTAGCCCAAGACCATATAAGCACATAGCAAACCTTGTCCCTCACCAATGTGGGACAACTCTCAACAACCCTCAGAATCAAATGAAAAGGTGTTCCAACCTGCACAAAAAGGCTGCATTTTAAATTACAACACAAAATGCAAATACTGTAAACGAGTGCCAGTTTACTGAAATTTTTATGAGCAAACTACATAAATAAGATATCTGATGGAAATCACCTGCTAATTTATTTAAACGGGATCCAACAATACCGCAACAGTTTGGGTTTGTAGTTTGACATTTCTTGGCACAATAAGCAATAATTTCAATAAACTCTTTTCCTGTATTTTCCACTTTAGCCTGCCAAAAGTTTACAGAAACGCAATAAGCAGCTGACTAATTCAATTCCATAAGTAATTATCTCCAAACGGTTCAAACGAACATAGCACCACCTCCAAAAGGAAAGAAATTGCATATAAGGTTCAAGGCAACATTTTTTATGAGGTGCTCAAATAAATAAAAAGTTTACATCAAGATGTCACTCGGTAGAAGAGACAATATAAAGTACTAAAAGTCTATGCATATGAAATGGTAATTTCACTTTAAATTGTAATGCGATGTTGACCCAAAAAAAAAGCGTTGTAATACAATTAAGAAAACAAGTATGCTGTGTCTTAAGAAAACAATGGCAATCAAATCAGAGGAATAAAACATACCAAGTAGATACAACAAATAAAAAATCTGCATGATCCGATGTCTAATTCCCAAGACATCATACATTTTCAAAAGGGGCAAAGCACTTTGAATCCAGAAGATATGGCAACCTTTTTAGCTTAATCATTGTATGGTATCTCAAGGTTCAAGAATTACAAATAAAAACATGCAATCATATTTCTGCCATTTAGTTGAAATAGAGGTCAACATTTCTAATACAAACTGGCTCAGCCTTGAAGTGAATACCTTGAAACTAAACATTGTCATGGGCACTGATGATTACTGAACATAGACATCTTGGTCAAACCACATTCTTCAATCTTAAAATATACATTTAAAACTCAGTGTTACCTTACATTCGTGGACAAGAGAGTCCAACAAGTAAAATAATATGCGAGAGAGCGTGAATCTGTCATCTCGAGACAAGATCAAAGATGAACATATTGTACGGGCAAACTGTATGAACAAAAGACAGTTACTGATTAGATACACGCATGAATTTTTTTATAAATCACAACTATAAAATCAAAAAATAGGCTACCTTGAACATTGTATATTTCAATGACGACTTGACATATTCAGCCATGGTTACAAGGCAGAACTTTTGCACAAGATCCCCATTGAACGATGATAGCTCCCCAACTAAAAATTGAGTACACCTACTCAGGTAGACAACGAGATTCCTGTGCAACTTCTCATATGTGCTTGCATCTAATACCCTGAGACATTTCATAAAAATTGAGTAAACTACATATCATAGCTGTAAAATCATAAATAATGTTGAAGTACTCGAAATGCAGTGAGCCTGTGCCTGCTTCGGATAAGTTTATATTCTGCGGAAAGCGAAAATCGGATGACTTACACACCAGAACCACGGCACAACCTCCTCAACCAAACAAAGCACCCGCCCATACACCTCACTATCCTTACTCTGACTCATGGCCGCACATTTCACAAGCGTCACCACAATTTCTCCCACCAAAGACCCAAACTCTTTATCTCCTCCCCCTTCTCCACATCCGGCACAAATCTCCGGTCTGATTTCACCGATTTCTATAAAACCCCTCACTCTCCGCTTCCTCGTACCGCCCACATGCCACCAGGCAACTCACCATCCTCACCCTCTGCGAGTGAAACGAGCACGGCGAAGCGGACAACACAGGGGACACGGCGGTCAGGCAGTAGAGGCAAAGCCGGTAAATATCGAAGAGTTCGAGGGCAAATTCGTCATCTAACTTTGAGGCGTCGGCGCGGCTTTTGGGGAGAAGGGATAGCGCGCGGTTGAGAAAGGGAAGGAATTTCTTGGCGAGGGAGCGGAGGAGGCTTTGGTGGTCTTGGGATTTGGTTGATTTTTTGGTTTTGGGGGGTTCTGGAGTTGGGTGAACGGCTGAAGGTAGGCGGCGACGAGGGGATGAAGGCCGGTGGAGCTGTAAGCTTCAAGTTTTGTGTTGGAACCCCAGTCCCACATCGGACAGAGGGAGAAGAAAAGAGTGCTTTAAATAGAAGTACCCTCTCTACCTACGAGGTTTTTTGTGATAAAACCCCACATCTGAGGATTGTGCAGGTGGTTAAGTAGGGACAGTATCGATGTTGTTGGAGTGGGCCCTCGGCCCGTCGACCTGAAAATTTCTAAATGGTATCAGAGCCAGGGAACGGGCCCGTACTGCCACGTGTTTGGGTGGTCCCCATTGGCCCCGCGTGATTGGGTGAGTCCCGACATGGCTCCACGTGGTTGCCGATGTGTGGAAATTCACGTGTGACCCATAAATGGGGTCTCACGTGCGGGGAGTGTTGGAACCCCAGTCCCACATCGGACAGAGGGAGAAGAAAAGAGTGCTTTAAATAGAAATACCTCTCTAACTAATATCGAGGTTTTTTGTGATAAAACCCACACCTGAGGATTGTGCAAGTGGTTAAGTGGGGACAGTATCGATGTTGTTGGAGTGGGCCATCGGTCCGTCGACCTGAAAATTTCTACATTTTGAAACGATGGCGGTCTCCTCCGTGGGTGGTGGAGAGAGAGAGTGTCGCGGGTTTCGCGTTTGGGGATGAAATGTCTGTCTGGTTTTCGGTCTTTGGGCGCCAAGACTGCCCCTCTCGGCTTATTTCAAAATTTTAGCAGTTGAGATCATTTTCATGGTTCCATATTAATAGAAATTCTCTTTTCTCAACCAAAAAATAATGAAAAGATTATTTAATCTTCTATCACAACAACAAAAATTAAGGGCAGTAATGCAATTTCACATAACAAAATTTTGATTTTGATTTTTTGTTTAACCCTCATCTACAAATGATTTTAACATATCTAATTTTTAAAAATTAAAAATAAATCTCTCCATCACTCTTCCTCTCTCCCAATCAAGGAACAAAATGTCGATAATATCGGCGATATTTCACCGATATTATCGGTTTTTCACTGTACCGATATCTTAATAGGTATCCAATGGATTTTCGTCAAAATATCGCGATATTTTGGAACTGTGCTACTCGGAGAAGAACGCCAGAGCTTCTACAACTCCGGCCGACTGTAAAAGAGCACACTCCGATCTGAGGAACAGTGAAGACGATGGTGCTTCCTCAGAATCTTAGATCCGATCTCAGACTTCACCGACTCGACGAGTTTGAACTCCTGCGACTTCTTCAACTCCATCTGAAGCTTGTCTTGCTCTTGGCCCTTTGTTTGGAGCACTTCCTTCTTGATCTTCAAGATCTCTTTCTTAAGGAGCTTCTCGGTTTCTCCTTCTAAAGCCTCGTTGCCTGAAGCTTGGGATCTGAGCGTGAGATGCAACGAGAGAGAGAGACGGATCAATTGAGATACAAAGAGATGCGGAGGCGTTGGTGTTTCTCAAACCTGATGCACGGGTGTTTTTCCAAGAAAAAAACGAAAGAAAATCTCAGATCTGAGAGAAGTGAGAGAGGTAGAGAGAGATGCAAAGATTTTGTTTGGTTGAGAAAGAGAGAATTTGGGTAGAGAGAGACAGACGGAGGGGTTAAAAGGAGAGAGAGAGAAGTGGGGTTTGGCGTCTGGGTTGGTTAAGGAGGAAGTGCGGTGTGGGCAAGGGGATTTCAACCCCTCCCATTTTACTTAGCCAAGAGGGGTCTGAGAGGGACTCGGGAAAAGAGAGAAAGAGATAGGGTGAGGGTTAGTGGGCTGCCACGTGGCAGCGTGACAGAGAGTGAGAATCAAGATGGAGGGTCCAGATTAGATTAGGATAAAGGACTCAATTGCACAATTTATATAATTTCAGGGAAAGAGTGAAAATATAAATTAATCTGGGGTTTAGATTAGATTAGGATAAAGGACTCAATTTCAGGGAAAGAGTGAAAATATATAATTTTAGGGAAAGAGTGAAAATTTTGAACCTCAAAGAGTGAAAAATTTGCCAGCTCGCTATATAATCAACTTAAATCAGTTAAATCCATCATGCAATGCATTTCCTTCCCATTTTTTGTGATAAACTAATAGATAATTGACTAAATAAACATCCTCCAAAGTTTCAATAAAAATTTCCAAGTTTTTCTTACAATTTCCGTGGTTTCCATGTAATTTTTATCGATATCGATATTATCCCGATATTTCCGTGTTTTCGGACTACCTATATTTCCGATATTACCGATATTTAATACCTTGCTCCCAATCTAACTTCTCTCACTCTCTCTTCCTTCTTCTTCAATTTTAAAAACGAAAATAAAAATTTCACACTTTGTTCGTGGACATATACTAATATATTATTAAAATTGTTAAGTTTAGATTCAAACATTACCGAGTCCCCGGTAGTTGACCTTTCCTCTTTGCAAAATCCAGTTCTTAGTCCTCAAATTACCATCAATATTAGGATGGATTCTATGGAACTAGGTTTCTTTCAGGTACATGCATACATATATATACTTCCTGCTATTGTGCATCTGCATATCATGCACCTTGTATCTTATAATATACGTAATTATATAAATATTTTCCAACCCAAAATTGTCAAAATTACTAAAATACTATGTCTTTCATATATTGCACGTCATGTGTTATATGTCAATGTGGTACATGGTGACCACTATTTCTAAAAATTGTGTCACTGTTTAGAAATGGTGACCACTATTTCTAGAATATTATTACTTAGTTTGTTTTAAATGATGCAAGGTTGTATTATTTCACTCATAAGACATGACATAAACTCAAAAAATTTGCCCAAACTAAAGTGTTGTTTCCAAATTAAAATCAACACTCATTAAAGCTCCCTAATTATTTTCCATATTTCTAAGTTCTATCATTCCTTCATTCTCCCAAGTATATTAACATATGTTAATAAATGCATTCCTCATTCCCACCTCTATCCTCGTTAATTCATACTCCAAAATACATAGATCTCACACATCCCGTATATACCGTGCTTATAGTACTCATCCCTTTGTGTTTGGTTATGTAAATTAACACCCATGATACAACATTCACTTATTATTGTTCTTTAAAAATAAAAAAAGTACGTTTCTCTTAGTCGCAAAGTCGTCCCTCACATAAAGATTGTCTTTACCAACCTTAAAAAAATGTCTTTACCAACAACCATTTATGAGTACCCTAAAACCTGATCCATAGGGGGTTGAATTCTATGTTTCCATTAATCACGACGCAAGCCCATATAAACCACATGACTCATATATTTATCGATTCCTCTCACAGTTTTTACTGCATGATATATATCAATCAATTATTACAATAATATCAACAAGAAGTTCATGTGATCTCATGGATATTATCCAAGAAATTAAAGCGATTGAATGAAAGCTAAACATTCGTTTCAAATAGTGATTCCGATTATCCAAGCAAATATCTAGATGTAAGTTCACAAATATTAATAACCACAGGTTACATCATGCGGGTGGACGGTGATATAGATGGTAGATACAATAAAGCTGCTCCTTATTTTAGGAATAATAGGCAGCTGCACAGTTTACCGGCACGCGGTGTAGCCACCGTAGTAATGATATTATATAACTCATTTAAAGAAAGGAAAGGCGTCCATTGCACCTTACTTAAAGAAAGGAAAGGCGTCCATTCCATGTTTCTTAATCAAGGGGAAAGCATTTTCATTTTTCACCATGCCTGTAAAGGTCATCACCACCACCGCTGGCTTACCCTTGTAATTCCACTTCTTTTTCATGTACTTGATGCCTGGTATGGTTGAAAAACACTTCAATGTGTACCACGGCATCTTCAACCTCGACATCTCAAGTTGATTTCCTTTGTCTTGGTTCCACTGCTCCACAACGGGAACCCAGACAATCCGATACCCATCGTATCTTCTTATTCCCTCATAAACTGGTTTGAGATATGAAATGTAACAATCTTCAATGCCTACGTCGGAGAGTAACAAAAACAGATCTTTCCACTTCAGCTCATTGTCGATATTAACCTGTTTGAAAGAAAATTCCAGCACAGTTAATGAATAAATTGTGACGAGATTCTTTAACTTTTAACGCCAAATTCGACCTGCTGGATAATTTGATAATTTTTAACGCCAAATCGTAGCTAGACTATTAATATAGAATGAGAGCAAACCTGCTTGTTAGAACCATCAAGAAGGACAGGCGTCGCATCAGTATTAGTGATTTGCTGAGGACAAGTTAAGCTCTTCAACACCTCCACAGCTTCAGCATTCGTTCCAAAGCAGGCTTGGGCCACAACTGGTTAAAATAATTATAAAAAGGAGAAACAAAATCATTAGATTTAGCATTGCCAACATAATTTTATGTGCTCTTCCTATTAAATTAAATGGTCCACTAGTAACCCACGTCTTGGTTTTATTTCAACGTTAAGCAAAGCGATTGCCTCCGTTGCTTGTGTCCGAATCAAGTCGATTATGTTGCTGTTTGCCACCTCTCCTTTCCAGTTCATCACCACCACCATAGGATTACCTTCGAAGTTCCACCGCTGCTCAAGGTACCCACTGGCCAGGGGCGAAAAATATTGCACCGCGTACCATGGCATCTTAGACCTCCATTCCTTAAACTGCTCTTCTCCTCCTTCAGTCCAGTCCTCAACAACAGGGATCCACACAATCACACAATTGTTATACTTTTGGATTCCCTCATACACTTCTTTGAGACATGAAATATCTTGATCAGAAACATTGTCCAGGCTTGAAATGTAAAATAACACCCACTCTAGCACATTAATGTTAAAAACCTGCACGTGAAAAATAGATAAAATAAGATAACTACAATTAAGTAAGTTTCTGAGTAGTATTACATATATGGAAGAAAATCAATGTCCTAGGTAGACTTGGCATTTAAGACCCCATCTGTTAATCCGACCCAGCTCATTCGTTAAGATTAATGTTTTGGTGAATGCTTAATGAGTCGGATTGTTAACGGATGGACCAGTTAAATAACAGGTTATTTTGGATCAACCCTTTAATTAGCTTCCGTTACCACATCCATTAATTGAAGGTGTTTTTGTGCACTTTCAATAAAGACGTAACAAAAAAAATACCCGATTCTTTGTCTCGCACTGTCACTGCATCTGATAACTTCCAACTTCTTGAACGTCTTTCAATTCCGTCGTTTGTGCTCTGCTTCGCTCGTTGCTTCCATCAGATTGTGGGAAGAGTACACTGACAGATAAATTAAGTTTTTCCTCATCTCCGTGGTTTCCGTCGTATGGTCTCTCTTTGTATCTTATGGAGGAAACGATGTCTTTCTGGTGCGGAGCTTGACGGCGGAAAGATAAATATGATTGTTGGTATTTTCGATTCAATCGCCGGGTTACTCAAATCGGTTCTTTCGAGTTGGAGTCCAGAGTGATTTAAATTTTCATTTGGATGTATCATTTTTTATTTGATAAATACGATTTATCTTTCCTTATTTTCCTTAATTTCTGATGCAAAATTAAAGAAACGGGTACTGGGTAGTGAGAAAGTATAGGGAGAGGGGAGACCGTGAAGAAAGATGAGAGGGTAGAAATCGGTGTTGGAGCTGCAAGGTTGAACATGTGTTTTTGGTATGAGATTTGTGTGTTTTGTTGGAGTCTCAGATGAGATTTGAACGGTGGTGCTGGAAACTGCATATTTACAGAGAGAAGAATTTTGTTGCAGACTGTCTAGCCAATTGGAGCTACAACTTTGATCTGGGTTTTTGTTTTCGTGAAGAACCTCATGTTTGGAATGATGATCCTTTGTCTGATGATATTTTGGGGTTTGGTAAAAACCGCCTAGTTTGTACTTCTCAGATAGTTTTGTGTTTTTCGGTGTACCCCCAGATTACCCAAAAAAAAAGATAACCACAATTAAATAAGTTGCTGAGTAGTAATCCAGATATGAAGAAAATCAATTTGCTAGGGGACCAAACCTCCGTGTTAGCGGGATCAACACTGATGCGAGGCTGCGGATACCCTTTATGCTTGAAAAGAACCAGCCTTCGGAAAACCTCGGTAATTCCAGAAGCAGTGCGTATTTGTTCCCAAAACTTTTCCTCGGCCTTGGCCTTTGCCTCCTCTGTATTAATTAGAAAAATAAAATAGATTCAATAATATTGGACTAATGGCAAATGCAATATATAATGTCCCTCGGGAGTCATATCATGCATCCACAACCGACCATTTTCTTGTTGGCAGATTGTAAGCTGTCCCTCAAGCTTGTTGAGGATGAAGCTCATTTTGTGAGAAAAATGGGATAGATCATATGACTTAATGTCCCTGAAATAATTTAAGAGCAAATCAAATGATAGTCAGATATAAATAGCAAATTTATAATATACCAAACCTTAAAGATGTTTCAACTGCAAGAAATCTGCCAGTTTTAAATTTGGATTATAGCAAATTTGACTTAATGTCCCCGAAAGTTTGGATTGCAAGAAATCTGCCAGTTTTAAATTTGAATTCCAACGGCTAGTTTTAATTTATGTCAGTGGTAAGGTGTGGACTTAGTCTCATAGGACAATTGTATGCACCATATTAGTTTCCTAATTGAAGGGCTTAAATTGCTTTTAGCTAATTGTCTTTGTTCTGTAGTGAGGAAGAAGAGATAAGATTGTACAAACAACCAATTTTTGAATCAATGAAAATATCTTGCAGTGCTGCTACGATTAGCTCCTGCAATTCTCTCTGAAATTCTCTGTGTCGTTCTTCATTCCTTGTTCTTAGAAATTACATCACAAAAACACTGTCAAATATAGATTTTAACAAAAGAACCCTTCTAGTTATAATATATATATATATATAACCCGTATACGTAGTTGGCAAGAAGAATTGTTTTTGTTTTCTTTTATCAAATCTTAATAGAAAAATTAGTACAAGAACTTACTCATCACCGGTAAGAAAAAAGAGCTCAGTTGCGCAAGCTACAAGAGTTATGATTGACCAGTAGGCATTAAATGGGGTATCCATAATTACCCTCGCCAATTTTGGTTCACTGTCTCGATCATAAGAAACTAGTTTCTCCAACTCAAGGATGTGCTCAATCACTTGTAACGCTTGGTTGACCAGATTGTTAAGCTCGACTACTGCATCTTGGCGTTTCAGCGTTGTCGATTTCTTGGAAAGTTGACTGGAACATTCTTCATATTCCAAAGCAAAAACTGCCAGGGCCAATACTACCTGTACTTCACATGGATAACTCGATAGTTTTGTAAGTATTTCTTCCGTACGTGATTCAAAGGAAGTTTCATCACCTGAACTCTTACACGACATCTGAAATTGCATCATAGTGTTGTTAACAACATAAAACGGGACAATAGGATTTTCATCTTTGGATAAAACACTTTTCCATTGGAAGGTGCATCAATGAAAGCTATGATTAAAAGTGCTAAAAAAAATAAACTAAAAAATCTAATTAATTTAACATCAAACTTCAATCAAAGATATTTGGTAATGACATTTATGTCTTAAACAAAAATTAAACAACATTTTCATTTTCACCAGTAATTACTAAAAGGATTACCAAATTAAGAACAAAAGGAAAATAGCATTCAGTTAATATGATGACCTTGCAGCCAAAGGAGTTAATAATAAGAAGAGATTTTTCAAAGTGCCGGGAATATGGGTCGGTACACCGAGTGTCATAAAACAAGTTGTTGAAATTTTTTTTTATCCAATTTCCAACCACTCGTATTATGATACTTGAGGTACCGAATCGTGTTCCCGTCACATTTAAAAATTTCTCCTTAATAAGAGTGCACAAGCTGGAGCTGGCTTTGGGTGTTTCAACATCATTAAATCCGCTGCCCTGCGATAAGACATGCAAAAGTGGTAAACATCTTTGGGTGTTTCAACTAATATCTAATTATTCTTAAACACTAAGACATTACTGAAGTGCATTTCTTTAAACATTTAATCTGAGTTTTTTTTTTTTTTTTTTTTTTCACAAATCAAGCAATCCTATTGATGTGGAAAAGGATCCGGCGAGGATCCTTTTCCTATGGATCCTAGAGATCCCGCAATCGTATTCGTTTATCTTGTGTAGTCAGAAATTATTTAAAATTTAAAATTCAAATATAAAAGTACCTAACGAAAACTAACTCCATAATGTATGATGAACGGACACGATTGCGGAATTTTTAGGATCCCTAAAAAAATGATCCGGCGAGGATCCTTGTCCTATACATGTAACATTTTGGCTATTTTTGGGTACTGCTGATCAATAAATCGAGTCAAGTTTCAAGTTTGCAATTAGAAGTTTGTCCGTAGTGTAATTCTCATAACATAACAGTCAGAACGGGAAGAAACAAAAAACAGTCGTAAGGAAAAAATATAAAAAGAAGAAAAAAAAAAACACGAACAGTTTAGAGTTGTCGAGTACCCACTATTTAAAAATAAAAAATAAATAAAACTAAATGAGCACTATTTTCTTACTGCTTAAAGTTATTAAGAGTAGATAGAAAGGAGCAGCAGTATAAATACCTGCTCATTAATATTGTGAATGATGTTGGCCGAATCCTTAATGATTTTCTGACTAGTCGAGAAAATAGCATGAACATCAAAGCTGGCATGGCCCTCATCAGGAACACGGTAATTCACTGCAAAAATGAGCTTCATGATTTCGTTTTGAGACCTGTCGAAAAGGCTGATCCGTTCACCACCCTCACCCTCACCCCCATTCATCCTCTTACTCATCCGCTCCTTCTCTGTTTTTCTGGTGCACCCTCTGTGCTCTCAACTCTCTGCCAATTTTGAGCTCTGCGTAGCTCTCTCTTTTTTCTCTCAGAAAACAAAAGACCACACTATTCTTTTCACCAAAGAATGGTGCTTTCACGTTTCCAAAAAAAAAAAAAAAAAAAAAAAAAAAAAAAAAAAGAAGAATAGTGCTTTCACATTTTCCTAAAAAAAAAACAAAAGAATGGTGCTTTCACCGAAAACATAGCCTTTTTCCATTTGCAAAAGTCAAAAAGAAAAACAAGCATTGTCCCCTTGATGTCTCCCCTTTTATTTCTGAGAGCAGTTCTATCGGGGTGCGTTTGGTACGTGGGACGGGACGGGACGGAACAGGACGAGGCGTTCCGTCCCGCGTTTGGTGCGCCAAAAATGGGTGGAACGGGCTGTTCCACGGGACAGATTTTGAGTGTTTTTGCGTTCCACCTCCCCCCTGGAACGGGTTTGTTCCACGTTTGTGGAACGCAATGTTTTACCATTTTAAGACAAATATACCCCATGTCTTTTTCAAAAATTACACCTTCGTTCCGTCTCGTCCCGTCCCGTTCCGTCCCGTCCCGTCCCATTCCGTTCCGTTCCGTCTGCGTACCAAACGCACCCTCGGGGAACCTTTAGGCTGGTTCCCAGTATCCAGCCGAGCAGATAGGCTGGCACCCAGTATTAGGGACAAAAATGTAATTACACCTTCAAGAATAATACTTAGGGATTAAGTAATGATAAGGAATATTAAGTTAGTTTTGGTAGTGATTCCTTTTATGTTAAGCTGTGATGCTTTTGTATAAAACCCAAGTGTAAAGTTATTCTTTTGAGTAATGAAAAATATTTCCTAATACCAGCCCAAGCTGGTATCTAGGTTGGCTCAGAATGTGTTGAGCCCTTGCCCGGCCTACATGACCCCAGGCGATACCGCCACTCCTCCTTGAGCTGAATTTGAAGCTCTCTGCTTTCCTTCCACCCCAATTCGAAGATCTCGCCGGCCGATTTTCAATTGGGCTGTGGTATTTGGGTATTCTCCCAACGGCGAAAAACTCAAAATGAGCTTAGTGGGATGGGTGAAGCAAGGAAGATGAAGCAAATGGGAGGGGCAAAGCGAGGAAGATGTGGAGATGTAGAGACGTCAAGATTTCGTCCCACTACGACTGCAATTGTGGAGTATAGCTGTGAAATGAGATGCAGGAAGATGTGGGTGTGGATTGGATTGTGGGAATCGGGTGAGTCAGAGAGTGATTGAGGTGAGGTTGAAGATTGTTAGGGAGAGAGTGATTAATTTTTATTATTTTATAATAAAAATTAATAAAATTTTAATAAAATTGATTAGGCTATTTAGTTTTAGGAGTGGAGATGCATTTGGTCTATTATTGTTCATTATGGTCTATCACTGTTCAGTAAGTGGATTAAATGGGCTGGGTGCTGGCGCATTTTTTTAAGGGTGGAATTGCTCTTAGCCGAAAGTGGATGCCAAGTTGGCCACTATCCAACATGGTTTCTATTTAGTCAACATGTTTGACTTTTTCTAATCTAATAAGACTGTAACAAATTTGATTTTTTCTATTAATTTTTTTTTAATTAATTAGCAATGAGGGTAAACTTGTCCTTGAAGGGTTTACGTGAAAATGAATTAAAATCTTAGGGGGTATTAATGTAAGTTTATAAATCTGAGCGAGTTTTGTGAAAACATAGAAATCTTCAATGGGTGTTTGTGTAATTACCCCTTTAGGTTTACTAGTCTCTGTGGGTTTTTACGTAAAATGGATGATTAAGTTGAAATGCAAAAGGTGAACAAACCAGTTATTTGACAACTCATCAGTTTGGTTCTTTAACTATTGCTTTGGTCATCAAAATTATCCATGACATTCACTTTTAGAGCAACTCCAGCCTTGCTGGTTGCTCGGGGGACAGTGGAGAGGAAAGGGCCCGAGGCCATGTGGACTGAGCTCCAGCCGTGTGGAGCCCGAGCGACGGTGGGAGCCCGAGCGAAGGGGGGGTGGGGAGTCGACGGGCCTGTGGCCCGAGGGCTTTGCAATTTTTTATTTTTTTTTGTGTCAGAGAGAGAGAGAGAGAGAGAGGGGGGACCAGAGATTTTTTTTGTGTCAGAGAGAGAGAGAGAGAGAGAGAGAGGGACCGGAGCTGGGCTTCCATGGGTGCGGAAGGGAAGTGGGTCGTCGCGGGGGGGGGGTGGGTCGTCGCGGGGGGGGGGTGGGGGTGGGTCGTCGCGGCCGGGGGGGGAGGTAGCTGGGTTCTGGTTTTTGCAGGGGGTTCTCGGGGGTGGGAGGAGAGGTGGAAGAAATGGATCTGGGTTCGGGTTTCTGTTTTTTTTTTTTTTAATTTTTTTTAATTTTTTTTAATTGGATTAATATTATAATATTTTTAATGTATAAAAAATTATTTATTTTTACCAAAGATTCTGAAAAGATAACGACACATGACACGATAACATTGGATAAAAATCTTATCGAAATCATTCGCTAAATAATTGTTTATTTAAACAAACAAAAAAAACTATTATTTTAATTGTCTATTGCCAGGGGGAGGGCTCCAAGGGTGGAGATGCAAATGACAATTACTGTTCATTAATGGCAGTTACTATTTATTTAAGGCAGTTACTGTTCAATAGGGTAGATTCAATAATGGATTGTCAGGGGGGAAGGCTCCATGGGTGGACTTGCTCTTAGGACCGAGTTATAGATCGGAATTTTGATGACAAAAACTATAATTAAAGGAGCGAGTTTGAAACATAAAAAGATCAAACGGATGAGTTGTCAAAAAAATAAAAATCTTTTGTGATATAAAAAAAAACCCAAAAAATAAAACATTTTACTTTTAAGTCCACATGATGTGTTGACCAAAAAAAAAGGTCATGCAGCTTTGGGTTGCAAACTGAATTATGCGAGGAAAAAAAAAATTATATAAACTAAAACTTGGGTTACTGTTTATCTATAATGTCTGGACGATAATGCCCCCAAAATGATCTTCTCAGTGTTATTTTTCTCCACTTTTGCACAGAAAAATGGCGATTTTGCGCATCTTCTCCACCTATCGATCATCATTCCTGCTCCTTTCTGATTTCCATCTCTCTTCTCTCTCTCTCGCACTCCCTTTTTTCCTTCTCCAGCCTTTGCATATTTCTGGTCTCCGTTATCAACGTCCGTTTGCTAAATTTTCTCAATCCTGCGAATCTATTCGCAGTGTTTGTCCTTTTTTCCATCTGGGATTTCCGGGTTGTGGCCGGAATTTTGGCCGATTTCCACCCCTTTGGGTGCGGCCTGTCTTCAGATCACTGCGGAATCGATCTTATTTAGCTAAGGTGTGTTTTATAATGATTTTATTTCAGTTTTATTTTGAATTTTTGCTAATTTGGATGAAACCCTAACGATTTCGTTTTGCTGTCAGTTGTGGTGCTTTCCCGGCTAAAAGAGTACTTTGCGTTTTGGTTGCTCAATTGGATTGGAATCATAATTAATCGCTATGGACATAGACATTTTACTTGAAGCGTCGAAGAACACCTCGACGCCAAAGCTTCCCAGGTGCATCTTCAGAGTTCCTGAAGTTCTCCGCAGACATAACGTACTGGCATACGCACCTGACATTATCTCAATCGGGCCCTATCATCCACGAGACAATGTACAATTTCAAGCTATGGAAAATCTGAAATACGAGTATTTGCGCGACCTTCTCTTACACATGGATAGGTCACACGACAGGGATATGGAGTTAGAAGCATCGATCAATAAACTCGTCAATTACATTTTAGATCACAAGAAACTACAAGCCATGTCTGAGTTTGAGAAAAAAGCTCGTGATTTTTATGCACATCCATTTGATCCTCCGATGAAAATGGAGTTTCTCCACATGATGATACTTGATGGTTGCTTCCTAGTACAAATATTTAGGAAGTTTGTGTATAAGGAACAGAGGGACATTAATGACCCTTTATTCAACATGGATTGCATGTTCCAGTACATATGCCATGACCTCTTGCTCTTAGAAAATCAGATTCCTTGGTTTGTCCTCCAGGACGTATATGAGCTCACCGTCAAGTATTACCAGAACCCTGAGCCCTGCCTCTCGGTGCTCATCCTCACCGCGCTCAGCTCACAACCACAACTGTCCCATAACTGCCGGTGGTATCTGGATCATCTAAGAGAAAATAATTACAAAGAGGATGAAAGTGTGGTCCACATTCTCGATCTCATAAGAACTTCCATAGTTTTCTCCTTCACTGAACGCTACGAGAAACCTTTCCACGATGCAAAGGTACAACTGATAGCTTCAGCAACTGCTCTTTCTGAGGCCGGCATTAGATTCAAAATGAGCTCCGATAAATGTAAAAGCATAATGAACATAGAATGCGAGAATGGGGTTATTATGATTCCGCATCTAGAAATTGGAGAGTTAACTGAATCGATATTCAGGAACCTGATCGCCTTGGAGCAATGCTGTTATGGTCGTTCGCACAAAATCACATCTTATGCCGTTCTGATGGATAACCTCCTCGGTTCTAGCAACGATATAAAATTTCTCTGCGACAAGGGAATTATACGTAACTGGCTGAGCGCTGAAAATGGTTCTGAGTTCTTCAGCAAGCTTTACTGCGACACGGTGCTTACTTATTTCTACTATGATGGACTCTGTACTCGAGTGAAGGATTACCAAACAGCATCGAGGAAGTGGCGAAAAAACATTGAAGCGTAACTATTGTTCAGATCCATGGAAAGCCACCTCCTGGATTGTAGCAACTATCCTTCTGATTCTCACCGCATTGCAGACTGCATACGCCATTACGCAATACTATTCTCCTCCAGCATGAAGTTTTTGATTAGTTAAATCTGAAGCATGTATGCATGTAATTCATTTTTATTTTACAATATTTTTTTTAGTACAAACAATATATTTTTTATTTTTATTTATGCATACAACAATACCAACTCGTATTTTTTTTACCATAAAAATTTGTTGTAAAGCTAAGATTGTTTTTTAGGAAACAAAAAAAACTCAAAAAAAAAACCCCAAGTCCGAACCTAGGCGTTCTTAGAAAGAAGGGAATGTGTGCAACTAACTACCCCAATTTAACTTATTTCTATGTGCTGAAACAATTATATGGCAACCAAAAATTGGAAAATTCTCTCATAGAGTTGCTGAAATCTCAAGGCTGGCCGTGTTTCGATCGTTTTATTTTCTTATTAATAATTTGCCATCCCCTTGACTACATCTGTCCCTAGAATCTTAAGAAATATTATAACCTCATTCCAAAGAGCACTTAGGGCAAAACCTATATTGGCTAGAAATTCATACATATGCATTTCTATTTTTGTTTTTGCAACTGCAGTCAAATCTGTAAAAACTCATCCCTAATTTTACGATTTTATTAATTAAAAAAAAGAGAATTGACAAAAATGCACTAGAGGCTAGACTGTTGACTTTCGTTGACCGCCATTCTGTGACGTGTATGAGCTATTATTCTACCGTATTCTCGAAGTATTCGACAGTACGAACGTGTAGGCGCAATCGGAGTTACGATAGCGGTTTTACGGAACTTACTTTTGGTGAAAATTACTATTTTATATTTTATATATTTCTCATAAATATTATATTATTATATTGTTATTTTAATGTTTAATATTTTTTTTAGGCCGTGGGATCCACATCTCACCCAAACTCTCCTCTCATTTCTTGCCACGTGTCACTCATCCCAAAAAATACTTGGATCTCTCTATTTTCTCCCAACTTCTCTCTATCCCTTTGCTCTCTTGGACTCCCTTAGCCCTCCGTCCATCTCTGCAAGCACTGGCACCGGACCACCCTCGATGTCCCTAACTCCAGTGAGCTATACCACTCGATGACCCAGGCCAGCACCACCATCGTCGTTTTCTCCCCCATGTCGAACCAGCACCACTTACTCTTTTCCTCGAGGCCATTGTTCACGTTTTTCTTTTCCAACGATATTCACGCGAATTCTCGCCGTTCTCGACAAAGGTAAGGTTCGAAAACCCTCTAGAACTTCATAGATCTTGTTTTGGAGTACGATTAGGCCAATTTTGAGGATTTTTAATGATGTTTGATCGCAGAACCAACTCGGGGAAACTAATTCCCTATTTTTCGTCAAGAGCCGCAATTCTTGCAGGTGATTTTCAGGCCTCTTTGGCCACTTATTTTACTTGGGTAAGGTAGATTTGATTCCCTCGTCCTTTTGTCTTTATTTTGGTTTAAATTTAGAGTGAAATTTTCTTGGAAACCCTCTTAGGCTAATTTTGACGTCCCGAGTCCCTTTTTGACATCTATTTAGTCAAATTTCTAAGTTTTAACGTAGTTGACCGGTTTGGCGTCTTGGTTGACTTTTTATGAAATTTGTCCGGGACCCTTGTTAGCATATTTCAACGTTCTATTTTCCCAAATTTAATTGTTTCAATTGAGTCTTACTAACGACACCCAATATTATGCTTAGAATCGATTACTATCGAAGATTCCGGCTTCTCTTGTCAGAACAGCTACAACCTTGCAAGTATCTGTGAGTGAGTATTTTCTTTTATATAGTATGTATATATATGTGTATATATAAGCATACCATAAGGGGATGCCTTAATTATATTTACGACCAGGAATAGGGTTATATTGACTAGAAGTGTTGAATTATTATGGCATGATCATATTTACTTTATTTGTTCATTGTATGCTACACTAGTGTTAGTACTTGCCCGGGCCAGGGCCAGTCTTCATGTGAATGTTCACATCGTACCGCATGCTCACTTTGGATCCATTGTAGGTGCCAGTCCTGTCCTAGATTGCTATAGGCAATTAGGACTCGTATGTGATGCACATAGCTCCAGTCTTCACGTGATTGTAGTACTAGAGCGTAAATCATTATTACACCTAGCCATGTTCTGGTCAAAATATCTCTACATGAACTCGTATGTCAGCATATGTCGATGAGCACTCGATATGATATGTTTGCTTATGCGAGATTATGTGATATCGGTCGTTATATGTTTATTTACGCAATATTGCGACGTATTGCATTCTTGTGATATTGCTGGCTACGGTATATTTTCATGCTATATGTAGTATATATATTTGGAAACTATACTTGTTTTATGGCGAGGGGTTATTACGTTTTCAAAAAGGCTTTACAAAGTTTTATTTTTAGGTCCACTCACCCTTGTTTTTCTCCTCTCCAAGTTTTAGTAGTAGAGCTTACGTGTCGACAAGGATTCTTGGCAAAAGTTGGTATAGGAGAGTACCTTCAATGGTATAATTCTTATTCTACTTTTACTGTACTTTACTTATGCTCTAACATCACGTGTGAAATGGATTCATTCACACTCACATGCACACTTTTCCATTTAGGCACTTTTAGATTTAAATTTACTCACATTTTCCACATCACCACATCACGGCGGTCAGGCAGTAGAGGCAAAGCCGGTAAATATCGGAGAGTTCGAGGGCAACTTCCTCATCTAACTTTGAGGGGTCGGCGAGGCGTTTGGGGAGAAGGGATAGCGCGCGATTGAGGAAGGGGAGGAATTTCTTGGCGAGCGAGCGGAGGGTTTGGGATTTGGTTGATTTTTGGTTTTTGGGGGGTTCTGGAGTTTGGTGAACTGCAGAAGGTCGGCGGCGACGAGGTTTTGAAATGATGGCGGTCTCCTCCATGGGTGGTGGAGAGAGAGAGTTGCGGGTTTCGCGTTTGGGGATGAAATGTCGTCTGGTTTTCAGTCTTTGGGCGCCAAGACTGCCCCTCTCGGCTTATTTCAAAATTTTAGCAATTGAGATCATTTTCATGCTTCCATAATTATTGTTAATCTAAACTAAATATTAATAGAATTTTCTTTGTCAACTCACAGATGGTGAAAAGATTATCTAATCTTCTAATATAACAAAGAAATTAAGGGCAGTAATGTATTTTTACATAACAAAATTTTGCTATTTTTTGTCTAACACTCACCTACAAGTGATTTTAACATCTCAAATTTTAAAATATTAAAAATTAAAAAATATATAAAAATTAAAAATAAATCTCTCTGTCTCTCTTCCTCTCTTTCAATCTACCGTTCTCTCCTTCTCTTTCAATTTTAAAAACAAAAATAAAAAATTTCACACACTTTATATGTGGACATATATTAGTATATTATTAAAATTGTCAAGTTTGAATTCAAACGTTGCAATGAATATTATTAATATATTGTTAGAATTGTTAACTTTTTATTATTTATATACAAAATTAAAAATTAAAAAAAACTAACACATCCCATCATTCACGAGGCCCGAGTCCTTGTCCCAAATTATCAGCTCCACTCCCCGGTAGTTGACCTTTCCTCTTTGCAAAATCCACTTCTTAGTCCTCAAATTACCATCAATATTAGGATGGATTCTATGGAACCAGGTTTCTTTCAGGTACATGCATACATATATATACTTCCTGCTATTGTGCATCTGCACATCATGCACCTTGTATCTTATAATATACGTAATTATATAAATATTTTCTAACCCAAAATTGTCAAAATTACAAAAATAATACGTCTTTCGTATATTGCACGTCATGTATTATATGCCAATGTGGTACATGGTGACCACTGTTTCTAAAAATAGTGTCATTGTCTAGAAATGGTGACCATTTTCCAAAATTAAAATCAACACTCATTAAAGCTCCCTAATTATTTTCCATATTTCTAAGTTCTATCATTCCTTCATTCTCCCAAGTCCCAAGTATGTTAACATATGTTAATAAATGCATTCCTCATTCCCACCTCTATCCTTGTTAATTTGTATTCCAAAATACATAGATCCCACACATCCCGTATAAACCTTGCTTATACTAGTCGTCCCTTTGTGTTTGGTTATGTGAATTAACACCCACGATATAACATTCACTTATTATTGTCCTTTGAAAATAAAAAAAGTATGTTTCTCTTAGTCGCAAAGTTGAATTCTATGTTTCCATTCATCACGACGCAAGCCCATATAAACCACATGACTCATATATTGATCGCTCTCACAGTTTACACTGCATGATATATATCAATCAATTATTACAATAATATCAACAAGAAGTTCATGTGATCTCATGCATATTATATCCAAGTAATTAAAGCAATTGAATGAAAGCTAAACATTCGTTTCAGATTAATGATTCCGATTATCCAAACAAATATCAAGATGTAAGTTCACAAATATTAATAACCACAGGATACATCATGCGGGTGGACGGTGATCTAGATAGTAGATACAATAAAACTGATACAATAAAACTGCTCCTTATTTTAGGAATAATAGGCAGCTGCACAGTTTACCGGCACGCGGTGTAGCCACCGTAGTAATGATATTATATAACTCATTTAAAGAAAGGAAAGGCGTCCATTCCACGTTTCTTAATCAAGGGGAAAGCATTTTTATTTTTCACCATACCTGCACTGGTCATCACCACCACCGCAGGCTTACCCGTGTAATTCCACTTCTCTTTCATGTACTTGATGCCTGGTATGGTTGAAAAACACTTCAATGTGTACCACGGCATCTTCAACCTCGACGTCTCAAGTTGTTATCCTTTGTCTTGGTTCCACTGCTCCACAACGGGAACCCAGACAATCCGATACGATGGGTATCTTCTTATTCCCTCATAAACTGGTTTGAGATATGAAATGTAACAATAATCAATGCCTATGTCGGAGAGTAACAAAACAGATCCTTCCACTTCAGCTCATTGTCGATATTAACCTGTTTGAAAGAAAATTCCAGCACAGTTAATGAATAATTTGATAATTTTTAACGCCAAATCGTAGCTAGACTATTAATATAGAATGAGAGCAAACCTGCTTGTTAGAACCATCAAGAAGGACAGGCGTCGCATCAGTATTAGTGAATTGCCGAGGACAAGTTAAGCTCTTCAACACCTCCACAGCTTCAGCATTCGTTCCAAATGAGGATTGCGCAGCCTCCACTGCTTTAGCATTCGTTCCAAGTAATTAAAGCGATTTAAAATAATTATAAAAAGGAGAAACAAAATCATTACATTTAGCATTGCCAACATAATTTTATGTGCTCTTCCTTTTGAATTAAATGGTCCACTTACCCCGCGGTATTTCTTTTTGCATTTTAACGTTAAGCAAAGCGATTGCCTTCGTTGCTTGTGTCCGAATCAAGTCGATTATGTTGCTGATTGCCACCTCTCCTTCCCAGTTCATCACCACCACCATAGGATTACCTTTGAAGTTCCACCGCTGCTCAAGGTACCCACTGGCCGGGGGCGAAAAATATTGCACCGCGTACCATGGCATCTTAGACCTCCATTCCTTAAACTGCTCTTCTCCTCCTTCAGTCCAGTCCTCAACAACAGGGATCCACACAATCACACACTCGTTACGCTCTTCGATTCCCTCATACACTTCTTTGAGACATGAAATTTCTTGATCAGAAACATTGTCCAGGCTTGAAATGTAAAAATAACACCCACTTCCACTCTAGCACATTAATGTTAAAAACCTGCACGTGAAAAATAGATAAAATAAGATAACTACAATTAAATAAGTTTCTGAGTAGTATTACATATATGGAAAAAAATCAATGTCCTAGGTAGACTTGGCATTTAAGACCCAATCTGTTAACTCGACCCAGCTCATTCGTTAAGATTAATGTTTTAGTGAATGCTTAATGAGTCGGATTGTTAACGGATGGACTAGTTAAATAACAGGTCATTTTGGATCAACCCTTTAATTAGCATCCGTTACCACATCCATTAATTGAAGGTGTTTTTGTGCACTTTCAATAAAGACGTAACAAAAAAAATACCCGATTCTTTGTCTCGCACTGTCACTGCATCTGATAACTTCCAACTTCTTGAACGTCTTTCAATTCCGTCGTTTGTGCTCTGCTTCGCTCGTTGCTTCCATCAGATTGTGGGAAGAGTACACTGACAGATAAATTAAGTTTTTTCCTCATCTCCGTGGTTTCCGTCGTATGGTCTCTCTTTGTATCTTATGGAGGAAACGATGTCTTTCTGGTGCGGAGCTTGACGGCGGAAAGATAAATATGATTGTTGGTATTTTCGATTCAATCGCCGGGTTACTCAAATCGGTTATTTCGAGTTGGAGTCCAGAGTGATTTAAATTTTCATTTGGATGTATCATTTTTTTATTTGATATATACGATTTATCTTTCCTTATTTTCCTTAATTTCTGATGCAAAATTAAAGAAACGGATACTGGGTAGTGAGAAAGTATAGGGAGAGGGGAGACCGTGAAGAAAGATGAGAGGGTAGAAATCGGTGTTGGAGCTGCAAGGTTGAACATGTGTTTTTGGTATGAGATTTGTGTGTTTGTTGCAGACTGTCTAGCCAATTGGAGCTACAACTTTGATCTGGGTTTTTGTTTTCGTGAAGAACCTCATGTTTGGATTGGTGATGTTTTGTCTAATGATATTTTGGGGTTTGGTAAAAACCGCCTAGTTTGTACTTCTCAGATAGTTTTGTGTTTTTCGGTGTCCGGGATTACCCAAAAAAAAGAAGATAACTACAGTTAAATAAGTTGCTGAGTAGTAACACAGATACGAAGAAAATCAATGTGCTAGGGGACCAAACCTCCTTGTTAGTGGGATTAACACTGATGATGGGAGGCTGCGGATACGCTTTATGCTTGAAAAGAACCAGCCTTTGGAAAACCTCGGTAATTTCATAAGGGGCAGTGCGTATTTGTTTCCAAAACTCTTCCTCGGCCTTGGCCTTTGCCTCCTCTGTATTAATTAGAACAACAAAATAGATTCAAAAATATTGGACTATTGGCAAATGCAATATATATTGTTCCTCGGGAGTCATATCATCCGGCACAAATCTCCGGTCCGATTTCACATCCGGCACAAATCTCCGGTCCGATTTCACCGATTTCTTCGACCCAAATTCAATCGCCTTAAGGCTCTCCAAAACCCTAAACCACTCACTCTCCGCATCCTCGTACCGCCCACATGCCACCAGGCAACTCACCATCCTCCCCCTCTGGGAGTGAAACGAGCACGGCGAAGCGGACAACACAGGGGACACGGCGGCCAGGCAGTCGAGGTAAAGCCGGTAAATATCGAAGAGTTCGAGGGCAAATTCGTCATCTAACTTTGAGGGGTCGGCGAGGCGTTTGGGGAGAAGGGATAGCGCGCGGTTGAGGAAGGGGAGGAATTTCTTGGCAAGGGAGCGGAGGGTTTGGGGGGCTTGGGATTCGGTTGATTTTTTGGTTTTTGGGGGGTTATGGAGTTGGGGTAAACGGCTGAAGGTAGGCGGCGACGAGGGGATGAAGGCCGGTGGAGCTGGAAGCTTCAAGTTTTGAAATGATGGCGGTCTCCTCCATGGGTAGTGGAGAGAGAGAGAGAGAGTGTTGCGGGTTTCGCGTTTGGGGATGAAATGTCGTTTGGTTTTCAGTCTATGGGCGCCAAGACTGCCCTTCTCGGCTTATTTCAAAATTTTAGCAAACGAGATCATTTTCATGGTTCTCATAATTATTGTTAATCTAAACTACATATTAATAAAAAAAAATTATCAACTAAAAGATGACGAAATGGATATTTAATTTTTTGTCACAACAACAAAATTAAAAGCAGTAATGTAATTTCACATAAAAAAAAAATTGTTTAACTCTCGTCTACAAATGATTTTTAACGTCTCTAATTTTTAAAAATATATAAAATAAATCTCTTTGTCTCTCCTCCTCTCTCCCAATTTAACGTTCTCTCACACTTCTTTTCCTTCTCTTTCAATTTAAAAAATGAAAATAAAAAATTTCACACTTTATGTGTGGACATATACTAATATATTATTAAAATTGTTAAATTTGAATTCAAACATTGCAATGAATATTATTAATATATTTTGTTAGAATTGTAACTCTTATTAATTATATACAAAATCAAAAAATTAAAAAAAACTAACACGCGAACCCTCACGTCCCATCATTCTACCGTCACCCCTCCCCAATCTCTCTCTTATTCTTCAGCTGTTACCATCAACTTTCTCTCGCTCTTCTCTACTCTCACCTGTCCCCAATCTCTCTCTCCCTGTCACCTTACCGAGTCCTTGTCCCAGCTAGTTTACTATTGCACTCACACTATGTTCTTCCTCATTCACAAATCCCGGTAGTTGACCTTTCCTCTTTGCAAAATCCACTTCAAAATCCACTTATTAGGATGGATTCTATGGAACTAGGTTTCTTTCAGGTACATGCATACATATATATACTTCCTGCTATTGTGCATCTGCATATCATGCACCTTGTATCTTATAATATACGTAATTATATATAATATTTTCCAACCCAAAATTGTCAAAACTACTAAAATACTACGTCTTTCATATATTCATATATTGCACGTAATGTGTTATATGTCAATGTGGTACATGGTGACCACTATTTCTAAGAATAGTGTCATTGTCTAGAAATGATGACCATTATTTCTTTAAATATTATTACTTAGTTTCTTTTAAAAGAAAACTAACGAAAAGTTCAAAAAAACTTCATTTTTAATGAAAAACACTTTTTAAAGGTATAGTGAATAGTGTCAGGTAAAGGTAAAAATGTGGTTTTTCGTTAAAAGTGAACAGTACCGGGAGTGTTTTATTAAAACTCCCTTGTTTTAAATGATGCAAGGTTGTATTATTTAACTCATAAGACATGACATAAACTCAAAAAAAATTGCCCAAACTAAAATGTTGTTTCCAAATTAAAATCAACACTCATTAAAGCTCCCTAATTATTTTCCATATTTCTAAACATATGTTAATAAATGCATTCCTCATTCCCACCTCTATCCTCGTTAATTCATACTCCAAAATACATAGATCTCACACGTCCCGTATATACCGTGCTTATACTACTCGTCCCCTTGTGTGTTGGTTTATGTGAATTAACACCCATGGATTCTACGTAGGGGGTTGAATTCTACGTTTCCATTCATCACGACGCAAGCCCATATAAACCACATGACTCATATATCGATCCCTCTCAAAGTTTACACTGCATGATATATGTCAATCAATTACAATAATATCAACAAGAAGTTCATGCGATCTCATGCATATTATCTAAGTAATTAAAGCGATTGAATGAAAGCTAAACATTCGTTTCAAATTAATGATTCCGATTATTCAAACAATTATCAACATGTCAATTCACAAATAAAACTGCTCCTTATTTTAGGAAAAATAGGCAGCTGCACAGTTTATTACCAGCATGCGGTGTAGCCACCGTAGTAGTAAGTATCATTACATAACTCATTTAGGGCACGTTTGGTACACGGGACGGGATGGAACAGAGTGGGACGAGGCGTTCCGTCCCACGTTTGGTGCGCCTAAAACGAGTGGGACGAGGCGTTCCACGGGACAAGTTTTGGATGATTTTTGGTTCCACCTCCCCCCTGGAACGGCTTGTTCCATGTCCGTGGGACACAAATTTTTAACATTTTAAGATAAAAATGCTCCTTGTCTTTTTCAAAATTTACACCATTCAAATCCTAAAAACAAACCCTAAATCCATTCTCTGCCGCTGCTCTCTCTTCCTGTAGACTTCCTCCTCATCCTTCTTCTTCATCCTCTCCCATAGCCGTCAACTGCACCCAGGCGGCACGCAGCAGCACGGAGCCACTACCGTTGCACTGCAGATTGACCCAGCTATACGATTGATATCTTTTGTTGCTGATTTGGGTTGTGTTAATTACTGGGTTTTGTTAATTATCAGATTTGATTTGTTAATTACTGGGTTTTGTTAAGATTTGTGCAACTGGGAGTGCGAGTGCATTCTTCGCTGGGTTTTGGGTTGGACGGGTCATGCTGGGTTTAGGCAATGAAAACAGTGGGTGGGGTTTGGGTGGAAACAAGGTTGTTTTTCTGCTGGGGATTTTGGGGTGATTGATGGTGATGATATCCATGGATTTTCAGAAGAAATTGATGAATAAATAATAATATTAATTAGGTTCTTGAAAAAAAAATGGAAAAAAGAAAAAACAAGAAAGAAATGGATTGAAAGTTCCTATGATTGTAATGGGTTTTGATTGAAATAATTGAGATGTTGATCTTAATTAGGTGGAGGTTCAAGTGAGGAAGTTGTATTGTGTGAGTAAGGCTGCTGTTTTATTTACCTATTAACATTGAGGATGCTTCTCGGAGTGATGTTGAAATCGAAAAGGCTTTGCAGGTACATTTAGATGATTTATTTTGAAATGGATTATTGAAGCTTTGTTTAGCTTTCTGGGACTTTCTCTCTTAGTACGTGTATATTCATTGGGTGGTATGATGGGTTTATAGGCCGGAGAAACACTTGTTCGAGTTAATCAGGATACCCGCTTGAATAACCAAGTTCTTGATTTGCGAACACCTGCGAATCAGGGGATATTCCGCATTAAGAGTCAAGTTGGCAATGTAAGTAGTCTTTCCACCATTTGCAACTAATGTATGTTGTGTGGAAGCGTCAAATATGAAACCAATAAGCTAATACAGTAAAATATGACAAGACAAATAATCCAAAGAACACAAGGATTTATACTGGTTCGGCGTAAGCCTACGTCCAGTTCCGAGACGGCGAGGAAATTCCACTAATATCAAAAGGAGATTACAAATAGAGTTTTAACTCTCAAACCCAAATCCCACATACACCCAATAGCTCTCACTAAAACAAAGAACAAATGGAGAAAATGGAAACATATACCAAATTCCTTCTCTCCCAAAAGCCACAACATGTAGCACAAATATCTTTGATTGAGTGATCACTAACAAAGGGGGAAGGCAGCAACTCTATTTAAAATGGGAGAGCCGAATGCTCTCTCCTCTGCTCACTGATTAGAGCTGTCAACAAACAACTCCCTTTTTTCTCCTCTACTGCCGCTCCCACTTCACCAAAGGCATAACCAAAAACATATAATAAACAAAAGGAACAAACCCATAATTGCCACATATTCTTTGCCTTTGTAAAAGCCACAAATCAAGGGCTAGACATCATAATGATGTCCCCCTTTTCCTTATTCTATTTTATTAGCCGAAAGGTATTTTGGCTTGTTGTCCACTTGGTCACAAATCCAACAATGTAAGTAGTCTTTCCACCATTTGCAGCTATTTATCTTTTTAAAGCTAGAGAAAATCGTTAAGAGTTTAGTTCTGTATGTCGGTTGCATTGTTGTGTAGATCTTTAGGCAATTCTTGATATCCGAAGGCTTTTTTGAAATCCACTCACCAAAAACTGATTGCTGGTTCAAGTGAAGGTGGAGCTGCTGTTTTTAGACTCAACTACAAGGGTCAAGATGCATGCCTTGCCCAGTCGCCTCAGCTTCACAAGCAGATGGCTATATGTGGTGACTTCGGCCGTATTTTTGAGATTGGTACTGTTTTTAGAGCTGAGGACTCCTTTACCCATAGGCATTTGTGTGAGTTCACTGGCCTTGATGTTGAGATGGAGATCAAGAGGCACTACTTTGAGGTAGAATTAGTAATTTTTTAGGCATTTGTTTACCTTTATCGCCCTATATGACGATGTATGTTAACTTATGGTGCAATTATATGCTCGTTTGTTCAGGTCATGTATGATCATTAAACTTATATATTTTTTCAACATTGCATGGCAACCATGACCATAGAGACAGAACCAGCCATCTCATTCATGCTAGCCATCTCATCACTTCCAATATTCACTGGCTCAAGGAAGTCTGACTTCATCAACCTAAATCATAGAAGAATTACAAATTTTAAAGGGGGTTGCATGTGGAACACAACATATACCTAATAAAATTTGGACCAAGAAAAACAAATAATGGATAAGCATATAGTGTTCAAATTTGAACAAGTTGAAAAGAAAAAAAAAAAAGTCTCATCCCGTTCCACGCATAAATATTGTACCAAACAATAGATGGAACATGGGTATTTTAGTCATTTTAATCTTTTGGTTCCGTTCAGTCAATACCGAACGGCGAACGGAACAACTGTCCCGTTCCGTACCAAATGTAACACGGAATATCCGTTCCGTCCAGTCCCTTTCTATCCCGTCCCGTCCCGTCCCGTCCCGTCCCGTCCCCGTCTGCGTACCAAACGGTACCTTAAAGAAAGGAAAGGCGTCCATTCCACGTTTCTTAATCAAGGGGAAAGCATTTTCATTTTTCACGATACCTTCACTGGTCATCACCACCACCGCAGGCTTACCCTTGTAATTCCACTTCTCTTTCATGTACTTGATGCCTGGTATGGTTGAAAAACACTTCAATGTGTACCACGGCATCTTCAACCTAGACATCTCAAGTTGTTTTTCTTTGTCTTTGTTCCACTGCTCCAAAATGGGAACCCAGACAATCCGATACCCATCGTATCTTCTTATTCCCTCATAAACTGGCTTGAGATATGAAATGTAACAATCTTCAATGCCTACGTCGGAGAGTAACAAAAACAGATGCTTCCACTTCAGCTCATTGTCGATATTAACCTGTTTGAAAGAAAATTCCAGCACAGTTAATGAATAAATTTTGACGAGATTCCTTAACTTTTAACGCCAAATCCAACCTGCCGGATAATTTGATAATTTTTAATGCCAAATCGTAGCTTGACTATTAATATAGAATGAGAGCAAACCTGCTTGTTAGAACCATCAAGAAGGACAGGCGTCGATTGCTGAGGACAAGTTAACCTCTTCAACTCCTCCACGGCTTCAGCAGTCGGTACAAACAGGGCACCACCTGCTTAAAATAATTATAAAAAGGAGAAACAAAATCATTAGATTTAGCATTGCCAACATAATTTTATGTGCTCTTTCTATTGACCTTGAATTAAATGGTCCACTGGCCAGGAGGATCCACGACGGGTCCTCTTCGTGAGGATTACCTCTGATGTGCACCCGCCGCTCAAGGTTAAGCAAAGCGATTGCCTCCGTTGCTTGTGTCCGAATCAAGTCGATTATGGTGGTGTTTACCACAATTCCGGTCTGGTTCATCACGACCACCATAGGATTACCTTTGAAGTTCCACCGCTGCTCAAGGTACCCAATGGCCGGGGGCAAAAAATATTGCACCGCGTACCATGGCATCTTAGACCTCCATTCCTTAAACTGCTCTTCTCCTCCTTCGGTCCAGTCCTCAACAACAGGGATCCACACAATCGCACGCTTGTTATGCCTATCGATTCCCTCATACACTTCTTTGAGACATAAAATATCTTGATCAGAAACATTGTCCAGGCTTGAAATGTAAAATAACACACACTTCCCCCTTAGCGCATCGATGTTAAAAACCTGTACGTGAAAAATAGATAAAAGAAGATAACTACAATTAAATAAGTTTCTGAGTAGTATTACATATATGAAAAAAATCAATGTCCTAGGTAGACTTTGTCTCGCACTGTCACTGCATCTGATAACTTCAACTTCTTGAACGTCTTTCAATTCTGTCGTTTGTGCTCTGCTTCGCTCGTTGCTTCCATCAGATTTTGTGGGAAGAGTACACTGACAGATACATTAAGTTTTTCCTCATCTCCGTAGTTTCCGTCGTATGGTCTCTCTTTTGGATCTTATGGAGGAAACGATGTCTTTCTGGTGCGGAGCTTGACGGCGGAAGGATAAATATGATTGTTGGTATTTTGGATTCAATCCCGGGTGATTATTTCGAGCTGAAGTCCAGAGTGATTTAAATTTTCATTTGGATGTATCGTTTTTTATTTAATAAATACGATTTATCTTTCCTTATTTTCCTTAATTTCTGATGCAAAATTAAAGAAACGGGTACTGGGTAGTGAGAAACTATAGGGAGAGGGGAGACCGTGAAGAAAGATGAGAGGGTAGAAATCGGTGTTGGAGCTGCAAGGTTGAACCTGTGTTTTTGGTATGAGGTTTGTGTGTTTGTTGGAGTCTCAGATGTGATTTGAACGGTGGTGCTGGAGACTGCTTATTCACAGAGAGAAGAATTTTTGAGTCTTAAAAACACAGGTTAAAAAAAAAACAACAACTAAAATAGGATACCATTTTTGAGTCTTAAAGAAAATTGTTTTCAAGAAAAGTTCTTAAGAAATGTTTTGAGAAATTATAAAAAATTTCAAATAGGATATCAAACAAGGTGTTTTTGGTGTTCGCCCCCCTCCCCAGATTACCCAAAAAATAAGGAAGATAACTACAATTAAATAAGTTGCTGAGTAGTAGTATATACAGATACGAAGAAAATCAATGTGCTAGGGGACCAAACCTCCTTGCTAGTGGGATTAACACTGATGATGGGAGGCTGCGGATACGCTTTATGCTTGAAAAGAACCAGCCTTTGGAAAACCTCGGTAATTTCAGGAGGGGCAGTGCGTATAAGTTCCCAAAACTTTTCCTTGGCCTTTGCCTCCTCTGTATTAATTAGAAAAATAAAATAGATTCAACAATATTGGACTAATGGCAAATGCAATATATAATGTCCCTCGGGAGTCATATCATGCATCCACAACCGACCTTTTTCTTGTTGGCAGATTGTAAGCTGTCCATCAAGCTTGTTGAGGATGAAGCCCATTTTTTGAGAAAAAGGGGATAGATCATATGACTTAATGTCCCTGAAATAATTTAAGAGCAAATCAAATGATAGTCAGATATAATTAGCAAATTTATAATATACCAAACCTTCAAGATGTTTTAACTGCAAGAAATCCAGTTTTAAATTTGGATTATAGCAAATTTGACTTAATGTCCCCGAAAGTTTGGATTGTAAGAAATCTGCCAGTTTTAAATTTGGGGGGTGGCTAGTTTTAATTTATGTTAGTGGGTAAGGTGTGGACTTAGTCTCATAGGACAATTGTATGCACCATATTAGTTTCCTAATTGAAGGGCTTAAATTGCTTTTAGCTAGTTGTCTTTGTTTTGTAGTGAAGAAGAAGAGATAAGATTGTACAAACAACCAATGTTTGAATCAATGAAAATATCTTGCAGTGCAGCTACGATTAGCTCCTACAATTCTCTCTGAAATTCTCTGTGTTGTTCTTCATTCCTTGTTCTTAGAAATTACATCACAAAAACACTGTCAAATATAGATTTTAACAAAAGAACCCTTTTAGTTTTACACACACACACACATAAAACCCGTATACGTAGTTGGCAAGAAGAAATGTTTTTGTTTTTCTTTTATCAAATCTTAATAGAAAAATTAGTACAAGAACTTACTCGTCACCGGTAAGAAGTGAGAGCTCAGTTGTGCAAGCTACAAGAGTTATGATTGACCAGAAGGCATTAAATGGGGTATCCATAATTACCCTCGCCAATTTTGGTTCACTGTCTCGATCACCAGAAATTAGTTTCTCCAACTCAAGGATGTGCTCAATCACTTGTAACGCTTGGTTGACCAGATTGTTAAGCTCGACTACTGCATCTTGGCGTTTCAGCGTTGTCGATTTCTTGGAAAGTTGGCTGGAACATTCTTCATATTCCAAAGCAAAAATCGCCAGGGCCAATACTACCTGTACTTCACATGGATAACTTGATAGTCTTGTAAGTATTTCTTCCGTACGTGATTCAAAGGCAGTTTCATCACCTGGACTCTTACACGACGTCTGAAATTGCATCATAGTGTTGTTAACAACATAAAACGGGACAATAGGGTTTTCATCTTTGGATAAAATTAACACTTTTTCATTGGAAGATGCATCAATGAAGATACGATTAAAAGTGCTAAAAAGGAAACTAAAAAAATCTTATTAATTTAACATCAAACTTCAATCAAATATATTTGACAATGACAATATAATTTCTTAAACAAAAATTAAACAGCATTCTCATTTTCACCAGTAATTACTAAAAGGATTACCAAATTAAGAACAAAAAGAAAAATAGTATTCAGTTAATACGATGACCTTGCAGCCAAAGGAGTTAACAAGAGTGCACAAGCTGGAGCTGGCTTTGGGTGTTTCAACATCATTAAATCCGCTGCCCTGCGACAAGACATGCAAAAGTGGTAATCATCTTTGGGTGTTTCAACTAATATCTAATTATTCTTAAACACTAAGACATTACTGAAGTGCATTTCTTTAAACATTTAATCTGAGTTTTTTTTTTCACAAATCAAGCTATCCTATATTGACGAGGAAAAGGATCCTTGCCGGATCCTTTTCCTATGGATCCTAAGGATCCCACAATCGTGTTCGTTTATCGTACATTGTGCAGTCAGAAATTATTTAAAATTTAAAATGCAAATATAAATATTACCTAACGAAAATTGACCGCACAATGTTATTGTTCATCGTACGGACATGATTGCGGGATCGCTAAGATCCCTAGGAAAAGGATCCTCGCATGATCCTTTTCCTATTGATGTAACATTTAGGCTATTTTTGGGTACTGCTGATCAATAAATCGAGTCAAGTTTCAAGTTTGCAATTAGAAGTTTGTCCATAGTGTAATTCTCATAACATAACACTCAGAACGGGAAGAAACAAAAAACAGTCGCAAGGAAAAAATATGAAAAGAAGAAAAAAATCACGAACAGTTTAGAGTTGTCGAGTGCCCACTATTATAAAAAAAAAAACACTAAATGAGCACTATTTTCTTTCTGCTTAAAGTTATTAAGAGCAGATAGAAAGATGCAGCAGTATAAATACCTGCTCAATAATATTGTGAATGATGTTGGCCGAATCCTTAATGATTTTCTGACTAGTCGAGAAAATAGCATGAACATCAAAGCTGGCATGGCCCTCATCAGGAACAAGGTAATTAACTGCAAAAATGAGCTTCATTATTTCGTTTTGAGGCCTGTCGAAAAGGCTGATCCGTTCACTACCCTCACCCTCACCCTCACCCTCATTCATCCTCATCCTCATCATCTTCCTCATCCTCTCCTTCTCTGTTTTTCTGGTGCACCCTCTGTGCTCTCAACTCTTAGAAAACAAAAGACCACACTATTCTTTTCACCAAAGAATGGTGCTTTCACCGAAAACATAGCCTTTTTCCATTTACAGAAGTCAAAAGAAAAACAAGGATTGTTCCCTTTGTCTCCCCTTTTCTTTCTTAGCCGAAAGTGGATGCCAAGTTCACCAAAGAATGGTGCTTTCACCGAAAAAAAGATCCTCTCAGTGTTATTTTTCCCCACTTTTGCACAGAAAAATGGCGATTTTGCCCATCGTCTCAACCCGTCGATCATCATTCCTGTTTTCCATCTCTCTTCTCTCTCTCTCGCACTCCCTTTTTTCCTTCTCCAGCCTTTGCATATTTCTGGTCTCCGTTATCAACGTCCGTTTGCAAATTTTCTCAATCCTGCGAATCTATTCGCAGTGTTTGTGCTTTTTTCCATCTGGGATTTCCGGGTTGTGGCCGGAATTTTGGCCGATTTCCACCCCTTTGGGCGCGGCCTATCTTCAGATCACTGTGGAATCGATCTTATTTAGCTAAGGTGTGTTTTATAATGATTTTATTTCAGTTTTATTTTGAATTTTTGCTAATTTGGATGAAACCCTAACGATTTCGTTTTGCTGTCAGTTGTGGCGCTTTGTTGGGGCTTTCCAGGCTAAAAGAGTATAAATTTCCCAGAAACTCGACGAACTCAGAGAAAATAGTTGCAGCAGCTGTGACTTCTATTTTTTTTCTCTCTTGGAAATGGTATGAACTCTGATCACTCTGTCTCGATCAAATCTTACAAAGTTTTCAGCTTTTTCCAATTTTAATTTCTGGGTTACTGTTCTTTGATAACTTCCTCATCTGGGCAATCCCAATTGTCGTTTGTATTTTCATCTGGGAGGAGTTCTTGAATGCTAATTAATCAATGTTAGTAGATTGTTAATTATTAACTTGATGTTTAAGCATGGACATTTGGGAATTTCCAGGTTTACAGTTTTGTAGATTTCGTTTTGCTGTCAGTTGTGGTGCTTTGTTGGGGCTTTCCCGGCTAAAAGAGTACTTTGCGTTTTGGTTGCTCAATTGGATTGGAATCATAAGTAATCGCTATGGACATAGACATTTTACTTGAAGCGTCAAAGAACACCTCGACGCCAAAGCTTCCCAGGTGCATCTTCAGAGTTCCTGAAGTTCTCCGCAGACATAACGTACTGGCATACGCACCTGACATTATCTCAATCGGGCTTTATCATCCACGAGACAATGTACAATTTCAAGCTATGGAAAATCTGAAATACGAGTATTTGCGCGACCTTCTCTTACACATGGATCGGTCACACGACAGGGATATGGAGTTAGAAGCATCGATCAATAAACTCATCAATTACATTTTAGATCACAAGAAAGTACAAGCCATGGCTGAGTTTGAGAAAAAAGCTCGTGATTTTTATGCGCATCCGTTTGATCCTCTGATGAAAATGGAGTTTCTCCACATGATGATACTTGATGGTTGCTTCCTAGTACAAATATTTAGGAAGTTTGTGAATAAGGAACAGAGGGACATTAATGACCCTTTATTCAACATGGATTGCATGTTCCAGTACATATATGCCATGACCTTTTGCTCTTAGAAAATCAGATTCCTTGGTTTGTCCTCCAGTCCATGTATGAGCTCACCGTGAAGTATTACCAGAACCATGAGCGCTGCCTCTCGGAACTCATCCTCACCGCGCTCAGCTCACAACCACAACTGTCCCATAACTGCCGGTGGTATCTGGATCATCTAAGAGGAAATAGTTACAAAGAGGACGAAAGTGTGCTCCACATTCTCGATCTCATAAGAACTTCCATAGTTTTCTCATTCACCGAACGCTATGAGAAACCTCCCTTCGATGCAAAGATACAACTGATAGCTTCAGCAACTGCTCTTTCTGAGGCCGGCATTAGATTCAAAATGAGCTCCGATGAATGTAAAAGCATAATGAACATCGAATGCGAGAATGGGGTTATTATGATTCCACATCTAGAAATTGGAGAGTTAACTGAATCGATATTCAGGAACCTGATCGCCTTGGAGCAATGCTGTTATGGTCGTTCGCATAAAATCACATCTTATGCCGTTCTGATGGATAACCTCCTCGGCTCTAGCAACGATATAAAATTTCTCTGCGACAAGGAAATTATAGGTAACTGGCTGAGCGCTGAAACTGGTTCTGAGTTCTTCAGCAAGCTTTACTGCGACACGGTGCTTACTTATTTCTACTATGGTGGACTCTGTACTCGAGTGAAGGAATACCAAACTGCATTGAGGAGGTGGCGAGAAATATTCAAGCGTAACTATTGGTCAGATCCATGGAAAGCCACCTCCTGGACTGTAGCAAGTATCCTTCTGATTCTCACCTTAGTGCAGACTGCATACACCATTAAGCAATACTATTCTCCTCAGGGATGAAGTTTGTGATTAGTTAAATCTGTGGCATGTAATTCATTTTAATTTTACAACGTATTTTTTTTAGTATATAAGAATGTATTTTAATTTTTGTTTTCAGGTATAATAATATCAACTCGTATTTTTTTTAGTATAAAAATGTGTTGTAAAGCTAAGATTGTGTTTTAAGAAACAAAAAACACAATAATTTGTCATCCACTTGACTACGTATATCCCCGGAATCTTAAGAAGTATTATAACCTCATTCCAAAGAGCACTTGAGCAAAACCTATATTGGCTAGAAATTCATAACATGCAAAATTGATTCTTTTTCAACATATGCATTTCTATTTCTGTTTTTGCAACAGAGTCAAATCCAACCATCAGATTTGGCCTAAAAAATAATCAGTTAATTGTACTTTAAGAAAAGAAAAAAAGATTCGCGCTTAAATAAAATAGTTTGAACCACGCCAATCAATTCATTTGGTATGCCAAATTTTGATACACGAAAAAGTTTGGTATGGTAATTAGTATGAGATTTTTGGTACAGTAAACATATCGAAACCACCAAAACGATCTCTCATTTTATTGATTTTTGGTAAGGATGATTTTCAAATGAAAATTAAGTTTGAACTGTTTTGATTAAAAATGTATACAGTGAAATTATGTTATTCGCAATGGTGAGTTTTGTGCATTTCCCTAATGGGGAATGCAAGTATTATTCATAAATAGGTTTTGGTCTTGGTATTAAGTAAATGAAAATGGGTCATTAGATAATCAGAGAGTTGATAACTAATGCAACGAGAAACGGAATAGCTAGGATCAATCATCGTCAAATCCTAGATCATAAGCTGAAGTCCACTTGCAATCTGAAATCTACCAAAAAATAGAGAAAATTCTAAAGTTGAATTAACAATAAAATGAATAGATTGTTGAAATTGAACCCTAAAAGTTGTTTATATATAGTCTTATTAGCAAACACTAGCTACAAAAGGAAAATAAAATAGGAAGTAATTAAAATTATAAAGACTTCCAAAAATATCAAAAATACGGAATAAATGTTTCTAGCAGAATGGTCCCAAGACCAATAATCCTGAAACTTAGGTGCAAGTTTTTGGAGAACAAGTCTTGAGACTAGAAACCTAGATATTTGTCAAAACTGACTCTTTCTTTCTTTTTCGCTTGTCAAGCTACCTGAAAAGTCTAGAACATTAACTTTTGACATATGACAACAATAAATAATCTGCTGACCCTGGAATTTTCAATTCTCCAGTCACTTTTCTTCATTAAATGCCGCTTCCTTCTTTTAATTTTTTTACATCTTATTAGGGCCCAAAATTTACTAAGAAGCGCAATTATATTTGGAAGCATAATCATTATATATTCGTCACAAAGCTTAAATTTTTTGCATAGAGTGCAAAAAGATGGGTATGCAAATTCACAATCATGCCACGACAATAGAGATGATAATTCGGACATTCGAAAAATCACGCTAAGCCCATGCAGCACACCTATTCATTATGCCAAGTCATATCAAAACAATTGTAATATTAATATATCAACATTTTAATTCGAATTATGCCAAACATCATCCGACACTAAAATAGGCCTAAGCCACATAATGGGGCTTGCCGAGTGGGTTGTGGTATGGATGATTACGAAAGTCTGAGCCTAGGTGGAATTAAAGCTTGTGAAGATTTTAGGACTCCATAAAGACAATGGCTCAGGATTTACTCCTTACTAGCATAGTGTGACATATGCACTTAACATCACAATAAAGTACATTAACAACTCACAAACACATGGAGTATGATACATCACTGAAAACACTACAAACAATAAGATGAAAAACACATGGAGTATGATTCTTTAGTTGAAGTTTTATAACCTATAATAAACAAATTTGTTTATTATAGCAACTCGGGATTTTCTACTACTTTTTTAGAAAAATTGCTTTTGTGTTCCTAAAATGCCTTTCTTCTACTAATAAAACTGAAATGTGGTTATTTAGCTCCAAACCTACAACAACTGATTATCATTCCAAACTATGAACTCCTTTTGAACTTTAGAGAGGGAGAGATGAAAATTTGCTTAAGATTATCCATCACTTGTCTCCAAAATGGTTTTCTTGCATGTCAAGGCACTGCACTTCCAGCAGATTTATTTATACTGAGTGACACCATTTCAAATTTTAAACTCTTTCGACATTGTTTGCTGCCATTGCATGTAACCATAAGATGAGTAAGTGTCTGGTGATGTCCCTGATGCTTTATTTAAGGCATTTATTCGACAAGCATGCATAAACATAAGAACCTACTATTAAGATTACCTGGTTTCCTTAGAACAGTAACTCTTCAAAGACAGCCAACTTATGTTCAACACAGAACACATCCCGGGGGATCTCCTTTCCCGTTAAATCAAGCAAGGAAGTCAACGGAACAGTTGAGGTAATACGAAAAAATGGGTTTCGGCTGACCAAGATTGATATAGTTTGCACTATAATTTCATGTGTCTCGTGAATTGACCACGACTCTCCAAGCATTTTCCTGAAAAATGCTAAATTTAATCAATAAAATATTTAGGATAATAAAAATAAAAAAAATTAAAGCAAAACACAAAACAAAGTTCCATGAACATTGGATCTCATGCTTTAGCCATCACTTGCAAAAACAAAACTATGTTTGGAATCATGACATGTTTGGCAATCCAAAGCAAAAAACTACAGTGCTAATAAAATTGTTAATATTAATGACAACCATAAAGATGATAAGACAATTTTAGGCAGATGAATCCACACTCTTAAAAGTCTCTAACTTTAGTTTCTCCCATGGCCCTGATGTCTAACCTCTCAAAATCAAAATTAAGTGCACATAAAATAAGAGGGTACTGATAATTAATTTCTCATTTCAGAAAATTCAGCTAAATAAACCACCACAACCACATGGTCATAAAGAGTCTTAAAACAAGGAAAAGGTTAGAGACAAAACTCAAACTCAAAGCATCTTTTATAGTTCCCAAAAACGCACACAATAAGCACTGTCCATCCCTTTTCCTTCAATAGACAATGCATCAACTGTATGCGCGCATGCATCCAGATAGAGAAAGTAAAAAAATCATAACATACAGCTGCCCCCTACCTAATCCTGTGAGAAGCCTGCGTGATAAACGCCTGCGGACGAACTCCCACTTCAAATCTACTACATTTTTCACTAACCCAGATTCCATAACTTCCAAAGTAAGACAATGCCAACACCTCGTTTTGTTGCAAATGAATGTTACATCACACCCCAAAAACAACCTCGCAACTTTTTAAATCCAATAGAAAGTCCCTCTTACTAAAAGTATCAGGAAAACCACACTCACTTTTTCCTTGCAACTGCTTTGACGGACCAAGTTGGGTGATGCCATTACCACTTATGCTTTGGTTCTCAGAAGATCGATATCTAGACCGAGTTGACCTCAAATTCCACTCAGGTCCTAAAACTTGATCCTTGACCACGGGTTTTGGTGCATTTTTAGTCTTTTTAAACTTTTTAGCATCCATCTTGCCTTTCAGGCCCTCCTTGGTGGTTTTCCTAATTTCCTGCTGTTTTTCTTCAGAATGAGTAAATATACTGCAAACTCCAAAGTCTTTAAGACTAGCTTTTCCAAGCATTGTCCACTCAACACACTCTTCTTCAGGACAACTAACAGAATTTTTCCACTCAGAAATATTTAGTTTGGCAATGGCTGATTTATACAGGTTTTCAGCATGAGATAACTTATCTGAAGATGTACTTCTTGTATTTTCAAAAATGCTTTGGAATAAATCACCAAGGTTCTGATTAACTGTTGCTTCCAGCATCAATCTGCACTTCAAACAAGAAACAACAGAGCTGCTGTCCCCCAAATATTCCTTTGCACTTTGACGTTCAATTTCTGCCAAGTCCCAAAGCTGCTGCTTATGGTACTGCTTTCCTAAAGACACGCAAAATTGAACTGTAAATTAGCCAGGTATTACAATCTATTTATTTTGAAACCAGCGGCAAATAGGGATGGCAATTCTAACCGTTAAACCCGATAACCGTGGATAACCGCCCGAATGGATTGGATTTGGATATGAAAATTCGGGTATGGTTTGGATATGGGGAAAAACCGTGAACTTTATTCGGTTATGGTTTTGGATATGGTTATAAGGGTCCCCAATCCGTATCCGTCCCCGAATCCAACCCAAATATTATATATATATATATATGTATATATTTGATATATAATATAATTTTATTCAATTTATCGAACCCTCCCTATACTAATTCATTATGCATGCATCAAACCCTATACTATCATTATTATGCACCAAACATCATGCATGGGGCATACCAACAACAACCTTATTAATTCCATACTCTTATTGTTATACTCAACCAAATTAATTCATTGAATCATTTTATATATCAATTATCAAATGTTACAAGTTTATCAGATTCGTCTCTCTTCAAGAGTCTTACTGTCAAGAAATTGGTGCATGTTATCATGAACAACTTCAAATATATTGTTATGTTTTTTGTAATTGGATGTTGCTATTTAATGACGGAATTAGTATCTACTAAAATTTATAATGCGTCAATTGGATGAATATAATTTGTTTTTGTTTTTTGACAAAGATGGATATAACCAATAACCGATTGAAAACCCGTTATCCGGTGAATATGGTTATGGATAATCCCCGATGGTTAATTTGCGGTTATGGATATGGTTAATTTTCGTGGTTATGGGGATGGATATAGCATTTCCGTCCCCAAACCGAACCATTGCCATCCCTAGTGGCAAATGAAGAAAAAGTTGTTAGACATTGAACAACAATTGAAGAGAAGTTATACCCAAGACAGTAGAAAAAACAATTGTAAATAGTGGTAAGCTTTGTGAGCAGGAAAAAGCTTTTCCAAATTGTAAAAAACCTTCGGCCTCAGCTCCATTACCAATGATTTCGAGGATAACCTGCAGGTTATATTGGAGATCCAAATTCAAATCCAATCTTTGTAAAA